GCAGAGTGGGCATGAGGGTCATCGTGGGCATGAGGGTCATCGTGGGCATGAGGGTCATCGTGGGCATGAGGGTCATCGTGGCCACTTCACCGGACTGTCAGGCAGACTGAGTGAGACCAGGCACGCCTAGTACTTGGCACGGTGTCCGGCCCAGGATAAATGCTCACTATGGAGTTGACATTTGTCCTAGCAAGGCCTTGGGTGGAGGCAGAACAGGCAAAGCTGCAAAAGAATAGGGTCCCAAAAGCTGGCAAAGCGCAGGCCAGTCAGGCTGAGGGCCGGACAGCGGCGTGGCGGGCATGAGCTGGAGGGACCGTACTGCGGAGCCCCGGAGGCCCAGCGCGGGCTTCTGTCCTCGGTGCTAGTGACGTTTGGTGCCAGACACATCTTTGTTGCAGGGGCTCTGCACAGCGTCTGTTTAGCAGCAGTCCTGGCCTCTACCCGCTAGAGACCAGGGCAGCTTCCCGTTGTGACCATCGAAAATGTCTCCAGACATTGCCAGCTGTCCCCTGGGCCAAGATTGCCCTCCGTTAAGAAGCCCTATTCGGGCAGGCGGAGTGTGGCCAGTACGTCCGTTCCCCGAGGTCTGGAGGAAGCCAGGGGTGCAGAGCACCTGTCCTGGCAGAGATGGGTGGTGCGTGCACGCGGCAGAGCGAGCGCCAGGGGGCCAGCTGGGGGAGGCCTGGCGGCAGGTGCCAGCAGGCGTGGGGCAGGGCTCGGACCCCAGCTGCTGGGAGCCCAGCCGTCAGCCAGGGTCAGAGCGCAGCTTGAGTGACAGTGAACCAGGAGCACTCTGTGCCTCCTCCCACCCCTGCCCAGGACCAGGACTGGATTCGAGATGGCAGGGCTGAGCAGGCTGTGCCTTCCACCCTTGGGGACCTTGTGACCTCCATTCGGGAGAACAACAGGCTTCCGAATAAGAGAGACCCAGTTCAAATCCAGGTTCTCCCACATGGAAACTAAGCCTGAAAAATAAAATTTAAAAATTTAGAAAAACATGTGTTGCCTAAGATAAGCACCGCCCGGGGGCTGCTTAACCTCAAGGCTCGGATTCCTGTCTGTGAAGCCGGAGCAGCCGCGCCAACCTCACCTGGCTGCTGCAGGGGCTGATGCGATGTCATAGTCACTCACCTAGCGTCCCACCTGCCACATAGCAGACATGCCGTAAAGGTGGAGTGAAGGAAGGAAGGAAGGATGAATGCATGAATGCCTTTCTCCCCCAATTCTCACATTCATTTCAGTCTCTCCTCTGGAAACTTGACTTCTCGGCAAGAGGAAATGAGCTCTTCATCTCTGGAGTCCCAGAGGTTAGCATTGAGCCTGGTAGAAAATAGCAGGTGATGAGCCAGGCCTGGTGGCACACGCCTGTATTCCCAGAGACTTCGGAGGCTGAGGCAGGAGGATTGAAAGTTTAAAGCCAGCCTCAGCAAAAGTGAGGCCCTAAGCAACTCCATAAGACCCTGTCTCTAATTAAAATATAAAAATGGGCTGGGGATGTGGCTCAGGGGTTAAGCACCCCTGGGTTCAATCCCTGGAAGACAGCATGTGCTTAAACAATGAAGGTTTCCTTCCTCAAGGGCAGTGACTTTGCATTGTTCAGTTTATGAAACCCTAGCCCAGCGCAGTGGAAGTGACACACAGTAGGCCTTCCTACCGTGGAGATGAATGAAGGAGTGAATGGATACACAAAAGGGGGCTAAAATAGAGGCACACCCTGAATGCTACCCCCCACCCTTTCTCACAGGGCCCCTGCCTGCGTGTCCATTTGGGGGGAACATGGCTACCGTGCTTGTAGGAGGCAGCTCAAGCCCTGGGAGAGAACAGTAGGAAGCGAGGCAGCAGGGTCCAGACCTGGGGAAGAAGGTCTCGGATGAAAGTCCCCATAGTGGGTGGCTGCTGTTGGACCCTTCTCCAGAATCCTGCTGCGGGTCGCTCCACCCACCCTGGGGAGCTGGGACAACCTCCATAATTCTCCTGGCTCCCGGGAAGAGGCTCCCACGTCCAGCAGCGGGTGTACAGTGGCGTGGACGTATGTCCTCCTTCCCTCAGGATGTGAGACGTGGGCAGGATCCCCTCCACAGGCCTCAGGACACAGCGTGCTTTGTTAGGCAGACCCCTGGATGGGGGCGTGGGACATCATCAGTCAGTGGCCACTAACCTTCGTGGCTTCCCTTCCCTTATCTGCACAGTGGAGCCTCGATGACGCCTGGGGTGACTCTATCCCTTGATCCCCTGCAAAGTGATGGGCCCGTCAGTAGTTAGGTGACTGAGCCCGGCCACGTGGCCTGCGTGGGAGACCAACCAGTGAGAAGAAGGCACAGCTAGACTTTGCAAAGCCACTGGCTCCCTGGCCACCTCAGAGCTGCCGGGAGCTGCCCAAGCACCAGATGAAGTATCAGCTTCGAAATCCAGGGGTCCCCACCCCGGACCCGGTTGGTGAGAGCTGGCGGGACCAGGACAGTAGCTGGTTTTCCCCAAGAGGGCCTGACCACTTTCCAGAAGGACCCATGGAACGGTCCATGTCACCCTGGACGGGGGAAACCTCAGAGATGGAGAAAGCTTTCTTTTTAGGCCCCCTGAGTCCTTTTCCCTTCCAATGACACAGTGTCAGCACATAGGGACTTTTCTCCTTACCAGGGACTGAACTCAGGGGCCCCCAACCACTGAGCCACATCCCCAGCCCTATTTTGTATTTTATTTAGAGACAGGGTCTCACTGAGTTGCTTAGCACCTCACTTTTGCTGAGGCTGGCTTTGAACTCGCGATCCTCCTGCCTCAGCCTCCCCAGCCGCTGAGATTACAGGTGTGCGCGACTGTGCCTGACAGCTTTTCTCCTTTCTGAAGTCCCTGTAAATGACAGGTAGGGACAATGGTAGCCTGGAAGAGTTTGGCAAAGCAATTCCCTTACATAAGACAAAGGAGCCATAGGAGATGAGAGGGTTGAGCCTGGACAGAGGAGCAGAGGGGACATGACGGGCGTCCCAGGGAGAGGTTTGGGAGGATGTGGGTCTGAAGCAACTGTCTTGTGTTTTGAGTGACAGGCGTAGAGAAGGGCACATCGCCGTGGGTTGGGGTGCTCCTCCAGGTACTAGCTGCTTGGCCAGGGAAGCTCCTCATTTTTTCCTTGCCCCACTTTCTTGATCTGCAACCTGGGGACAATAGAATCTGCTTCGCAATGGAAAACACTCAGCATTGTTCCGGCACCTAGGGAGGACCTTAGGAGTCCGTGCAGGGCTGATGGTAGGGGTGATAGAGAAACCCTAGAAGTCCCTAGTACAATGGCCATCCCTCGGGGTGCTCTCCGGGAACCCTGCCCAGTGCCCACTCCCGTGTTAGCTCCCTGTGCAACGGAGACGCTAATGACAGGCAGGCCCTGGCCAGTGTCACTGGGAACTTCCCCAGAACTTGCTGCTCTGGAGCGCAGGTCACGTCAGGTCTGGCGGGTGCAGAACATCTGCCCTCCATGTGGCTGAACCATCCAGAGATTGCCACAGGCTGCTTCTCAGGCCGGAGACACATCCCCCAGGCAGGAGGCATGGACTCCCCAGCTGGGCCGCCCTCTGGCAGACTATACCCAGGGGGTATTTTTTCAGGTTCTGGGTGACATTCCCCTGCCCCTCAGCCTAACAGGTCCCAGATGTGCCCCTCTCCCCACTCCCGTCCCACGCTGCTGCTGCTGCTGCGTACCCGGGCTTCCTGGCCCTGTCGCTGCACCTCTTGACATTTTTTTTTTTGCTTTGTTTTTAATTCAAAATATTTTGTCCGCCTTCACATGACGACTTGACAGAGGCCAACGTGAGAAGGGCTGCTTCCTCTAGCTGGGACCAGGACACAGAATCTGGCAGACCGAGACAGGGACACTGGCGCTGGGAATCCGAGGAGCAAGGGAAACGCGGGGAGTCTTTATTGGCTGAGCATAAAAGCAGCTCAGGCAGCAGCTGAGTGCATGTGGCCTGGTCACCAGGGGCTGGGAAGCCAGGGCCGTGGCGTTCTGTGGCTCACCTCCCCCGAGGCATCCTGTCTTTTTTTTTTTTTTTTTTCATTTAAAATGGTTTATTTGGACAGTTTTCTTAGGGCACCCGTGTTCACACATTCTGCTGTAAGTTAACCCATTCTAGAACCTTCCTGGAAGTTGGAATTCAGGCTTTTCCATTACACATTTTGCTTGCCTCTGGTCACCTGGGAAAAGGCTGTCTGTGGTCACTAAGGGTCCTTATCTTAAGGCACCTTCCATTCTCTGCCTTCTTTGCTCCGGGGCCCCCACTCCCTTCGCTGTCTCCTCAAAACACTTGACTGTGATTCTTGCCAATAATGAGACAGGGCTGGGCCGCCGGAGGGAGAGGGAACCCAGGGAGAGGGGGAAGAGAGGCGTGAGTGGACAGCTGGGCTGGGGGCCCAGAGGTGGGCGGTGGGAAAGCAGCAGAGGACGGCAGACCCAGGAGGGGTCAGGACGCCTGACTCACCACGGCACAGAAATCAGGCCTGCCAGATAGACACCAGGCGGGGATCTGAATGAGAAGGACTGAGAGGCGGCCCCGCCCTGCCCCTTCCTGCTTGTTTTCCACTGCGTGTGTGTCGTGTGTGTCGAGGGAAGCCTGGAGCGCGCTGTCATTCCGCATCTCTTTGGATGTCATTTTGACCTTTCTCAGTGTGTCTTGGTGCCCACATCCCACGCTGTGGAAAGCAACCTGGATCGTGAGCACAAGCAGGTCCCAGGGAGCCCATGTTGTGGGGTGAGAAACTGAGGCCTGGGGACCACTGTCAGGTGCCCTGCAGGACTGAGCCTGGGTCCCAGACCTCGGCGTTTCCCATCCAGTCATGAAAACGTGGAGATGAAATAAAGGGGGAAAAGATTATGGTGGTGAAAGTGAGCCAGGAAAATGCCACCTCCCAAGACCAGATGGAAACGCCTCCCCCGCTCAAGAATTCCTGGGGGGCGACGGACCCTCCTATGGACAGCGGCACTGACCGGCTTCTCTCTCTCTCTCTCTCTCTTCCAGGACCTCCTGTAAGTACTCACTTGGCGGCCAGCTCTTGCGCACCTGAAAGTCTATGTCTCTACCGGTAACAGGGTCTCTGGGGGGGACACAGGCAGCTGTCTTCCGGGGGCCTCCTGTGCTTCTGCAAGGCCTTCTAGAATGTTCCATGGGAATGGAGGCTGCTAGTTCACTTTCCACGCACCTCTGTGCTCCTGTAGGGCTAGACAGTGGCGGCCCCAGGGGCAAACCAGGCCCTAATTTCATGCCCAAAGTCTGGCTTGGCCCTCTTTAGACCAGCTCCTTTGTCCTTCAGAGAAGCAACTGGAGTCCAAAAAGCAGCAGGTACTAGAAAGAAGGAAGAGCCCGCCCTGCTCCTTCTGTCCATGAAGAAAGCAGGTCAGGGGCGGCTCCAGGCGGGGGCTGCTCTGGAGCACTCAGCGTCCACGCCCCCAAGCAGGCAGCTCCATTCTGGCCAAGTCACTTGGGGCAGGCAGAGCTGGTGGCCATCTGAATGAGAGCAGTGTCCGCGATCAGCTGGGGAGATGACACATAAGTTAAAGACACCAAGTGGCTCCTCTTCCCAGGCTCCACTCCCAGGGTGGGCAGGGGATCTGGGTCATTTCCAAAGAACCCGAGAAGAGCCCAAGGAGACCGTCTTCCCGTCTCCCCGAGGTAATAGATCCAGGGAACAGGAGCACGTGTCCTTTGAGGAACAGCATTTGATATCTCAACAAGAGACTCAGAGGGCGCTGGGGGCGCTGAGGGGGGTTGGAGCTGAAAGGCTTCAGCCCCCGCAGCAGACCTCTCCCAAGGTTACTGAAATCTCCGTCACTCGGAGAAATCATTTCCAGAGTTGTTTTCCTCGTGATCTGTACATGTGAGAGCAGCCTGCCCGATTTTTAATGAGACTGTTATTTATATAATATTTCATCCATGCCCTGAAACGCCCTCAGACCCAGGCTGGGGATCCTGTCTGGTTGGATCCCCTGTGTGGCAGATCCCAGGGAAAGAGGAAAATCAAGTCTTTCCTTGAAAGGAGGAGGGCTGGTTTATCACAGCTTGTTGGGATGTCAGGCTGCAATTCCGATCATCCATCTTCTAAAATAAACCGCCAGAGGGAACATCCAGAGACCACCTGCTGGAGCTGGGACGCTGGGCTCCTTGTCCCCCTGCTGGAGCCCCCTCCAGGACCAGCCCACTGGGGCTCTCCAGGGACATCATCTGAGTCCCTGCCTGGCTGGAGGATCCTTTTCTCAATCGCAATTTAGCATTTTGAGAGTTTGTGCCTGCCTCACCCGGAAGTTGTTCCCAGCCAGGGTGGACACTGCCATTCTGGGGTCTGCAGTGAAGTGGGTCTCTGCTTCAGTCTTGGCCCACCTGTCCGCCAGCCAGGGAGTCAGGTAGAGGTAGCTCCTCCCACCAGAGGCGCCCTGAACCTCTGCCCAAACCACAAGGCAGGAGGAGGAGGGAGCAGGAAGCTGGCCAAGGAGGCGGTCACCTCCTCAACCCTGTTCTCTCCACTTCCTGCAAAAGAAGGATGCCAGTGGCCAGAGGTGAGTGCTGACCGGATGCCTGTCCACTGCCCTCCGGGTGTATCTCAGGGCTGGCTTTGTCCTTCCGGTGGACGCCAGGGCTATCCATAACCATGGAGGATGGGTTGATGTTGCAGCCCCCCCCTCCTGCCCAAGGCAGACATTGCTAATCAATGTAGCCAGTTACTCCCGATCCATCTGAGCCGGTGCCCCAACTGACGTCGGCCGTCCCTGGGTTGGATGGGAAGATGTGCTTAATACTGGGAACTGAAAGCCTGAGTCAGATGCCCATGGGAATAGGGAGGACTATAGGGAAACACTGAATGTCAGCTGCCAGGCAAGGTGAGCATGACCCTTGCCGAAACTCGAGCTGTCACTCTCTGCGTGTGAGGTGCTCTCGGGTCGGCATGCGGGCTGTGTGGCCCAGTGACTAGGAGCACAGCTCTGGAGCCCACTCTCCAATCCTGTCACTGCCACTCCTCGCTCTGACTTGACAAGTTATTTAATATCTCTGTGCCTTAGTTTCTCCATCTATAAAATGGGAATTGTCATGGTTTCTGACTATTGGGGGGCGTATATATTTACATGAACATTACATACATGTATATATTTTCTTCCATTTAGAGAATGTTAATTCATTTGGTCCTAGACTCAGAACTTCCTTAGATGATTCCCCCAAAGGTCTTTAATTTTTAAGGAGGAGATTGTTATTCTGTGAATTTTTATTAATTTATTATTTCATTTGTTTCTATCCTCCCTCATTCTGAGGAGGAGGTTTGTAACTTAGTCAAGCAAACGGAGAGCAGAGGCAGGAAGACTTGGTTTTGAGCTCCCTGGTGGTCAGAGCAAAGAGGAGGGCGGTTTGGGGGAGACTTGGGGGACAGTGAAGTAGGGATGTGCCTGTGGTTTGGGAAGCACAGCTTTTCCTGGTCCTGGGCCTGAGATGAGAGCCCCTGTGTGTTCTCATGAGGGTCCCGCCACCTGGATGACCCGGTTGTACATACAAGGGGCTGTGACGGAAGCATCCATCTGTTCCTCATTAGACCCTCTGCGTGAGGTTGGGACCCCCACAGGCCGGTCCGTTCCCTGGGGCAGGATGTCACCGCCCCACCTCCTGTCCCACTGGGTGGTGTTAGGGGAGGGGCTGGTTAGAAGGGAAGGGCCTGGGCTCCTTGATGTGGTGTGAGGAGGGACCCGTGCTGTCTTTCCTGGGGTCTGGACAACTGGAGGCTGGGCCACCAGGTTCGTTCATTCACAAATGACCAGGAGCTCAAGCCTCCTCAGGCCCCTTCCTGTAAGAAACAGGAACGGCTCCCCCAGGCCAGGAGCACTGGGGGCAAAGCCTCGCAGAGCAGAGGGATGGGGTGAGTCCTGCCCCCTTACCCAACATCTCCCCGTCATTGAGAGTCACTGCACCATCGCTAAGGGACAGGGGACAGAACTCCTGCTGCTGCCTGCGTTTACCTCTACAGTTACTCAGAGACACTGGACCCGCCCCCGTTCTGCCTTAGGTCTCTGGGAAGAGCAGGGTATCTGGAAGGAGAGACACTGTACCCAGAGGAACCCAGGCCAGCACCATGCCCCTCCCCCACCTGTCCCCTTCCCTCCTACCCCAGTGGTAACAGCCCGGTGTCCTCTGTGCTTGCTCACTGCCAGTCCCAAGCTCAGCGCTCCACACACAACATCTCATTCAATCCCAAAAGATAAGTAACGAGTGCTCTTCCATTTTCAAGGAAACAGAAACACAATGAAACCAGACTGTTTAAGGTCCCTTGCTTGCTTAAGGTCACTCCACCAGTGAGTGGCAGAGCCAAGATTTGAGCTCAGGTAGGCTGAGCACCTGCTCCTTACCCATCTGTCTTACGGAGATGCCTCCACCTGTCCTGCACCCCAGAGCCCCGCCATACCAGGGTGGGGGGCCAGATGCCCATGAGCCCCAGGAGTCTCCCCAGTCCTGGCAAGGTGCTCCCGGGTGCCCCAGGAGCTTCTCAGCCACCCTCTTGGATGCATCGGGGAGTTGGCACCCCAAGGTGAACAGGCTTCCTTGGTTTCGACTGGTTCTTAAATTGCTCCCTCTGCACGTGGCTGTGAAGGGAACCACTGTGACGGATGGTGAGGTTCATGACTGTTCCCTTTTCCATAGCATTTCTGATCCATTTTGTGGAGTCTTCTCCTGTGCCCACAGTTGTTCCAGGCAGAACTGCTAGGGTTGTGAATAACGTGTTCCAGAAACAGAGCTGTGGTCCATGAACAAAGGTGGCCAGAGCCTCCGAGGCCCCCATGTGCCAAGGGCCAGCCCCCCACCTCCCACCTGACACTGACCTGCCATGGCATGGATGATTGACTCTGGTCAGAGTCGTCACAGGAAGAACCACTGCTTCCCAGGATCCTCTGGGGGTGCTCCCCCTGCACCTCCATGACCACGAGCCATGGGCTGAGAGGTGACAGTCCTCCAGCCCATGGCTTCCCAGTGGGTGATAGGTGCTCCCCTGCTTGGTGGGCAGGGAAGACCAATCCCCAATGCCCACCCCCACCTCCTCCTGGACCAAGACCAGCACCCATGTGTGGTGCAGCGGAGGTTGCCCCGAGCGAGGCAGAGGGGCTCAGAGAGCAGACGCGCTTGTGGGACCCACAATCCTAATGGTCCTCAGTCGTGACGACTTTCCCACTGTTTTTATTTCTTGTCTCCCTGTTCCCTGTTCCCACCCCTGGGCCTGGCACGCCGGAGCCCCTGGCCACCTGGTTTTCTGAATGTAAGAGCTGAAAGGAAGCCTGCCCACCAAGGCCTCCCTGTTCATAAGAGAACAGCTCGGCGCAGGCGACTGCCGGGTGGTGTCGCTGGCCACGGCAGCGCTACCTGGTTGCTGTTCCCACTCCCTGACCCACACCAACCTCACTCTCCACTCCTTTATTTCAGGGCCCCACCGGAAGACCCGGGCTCCCAGTAAGTAACGCATCCTTTATTATACCTCTGTGTTGACTTTGCGGGGCTGGACCCAGGACCTCGTGCTCCACCACTGAGCTGAGCCTGGGCCAGCCCTCTCTCCGTCTGAGGCTGGCCGCGCTGGGCAGCTGGCTCCCCTCCGGTGTCTCTGAGTGAGAGGCCCCTCTGGACTCTCCTATCTGCCACTCCCAGCCCCGCCACCTTGGAGCCTGGATAAAATCTGGAGCCTGCAGCTGCTGCTGGGGCTTGGGTGTCCCTCCTGGGGCATCAGGCAGGTGGATCACGGCAGCAGACCCTCCTGATGCTGGAATTCATGTCTATGGAGGGTCCTGTAATGAGGGCTGAGAGGGCTGGTGAGCTCCTGGTGCACTAGGACCCCCTGCTCACTAGTTGACACCAACTACTGTTCCCTCCTTCACCCATGCCTCTGGTAAAAGAGCAAACTCAAAAACTTGGTTTTCCCCCTGTTTTTATTTCTGAATTCTAGAGAGGCTATGCCAAGGAATCATGGGAACTTTGAGACAAAAGCAGAAATAATACTAATAGCCACTTCCTACTGAAACTTTAATAGGTGCCCCCTATGCTAATCATTCTTCAGACTTGACTTGTTCAACAGCTCAGCACAATGGGTATGATTGTGCCCATTTTAGGGGTGAGGAAATTGAGACTTGGAGAGGTCAAATACATTGTCCACCCACCCACACTTCAGTGGTGGACTGGTTGAGGCGCACATTATCACATCCCATTCCATACCGCTGTTCCCTGTGGTCCGTGCTCAACATTTGAGACCCACCTTAAAAGTCGTCCAGTCATGGCTATGGAGTCAGGCCTGGATGGGGGAGAGGAGTCCTGGGAACAGACACTGCGGGGCCCTTGGCTGGGGCGGGGCTCAGGCAAGATGTTGTAGCCGGCCAGAGAGCTGAGGTGGGGCGCGGAGGGGGACCTGGGACAGCTCCTGTCTGCCCTGTCCCTCTGCCACATCCACTGGGTTCCACACTGTTCTGTGTGTCCCTCCTACTCCCCCTTTAGACATAAATTAGACTTCGGCCATTTGACTAATCCAACAGCTTCTAGAATCCATGCCCAGCACTGGCTTTCTTAATGAAATGCATGTGGAAGAATGTTTAGCCTTGAAAACAGAAATTCTCCCTGTAAGGAAGAGCCACGGAGCTGCAGAGGACGGTGAATCGGTCCTGTGAAATCCAAGGAGGGGAAAAATCAGATGACCGAGGGGAGCGTGGGCAGGCTTTTTTTTTTTCTTAAAACATCCACCTTTAAAAAGCATTTAGGGGCGATCCACCCAGAGCAGGGCCTGCTGCACCGCTCTCCGGCTCTGGCCCTTCCATGCCGGTCCCCAACCTGAGCGTTTTATAGCCAGGACTGCAAAGAACATTAGTTTTAAAAAAAGAATCCAAAACACACATCCTGAAAGATCATCCAAAGCCCCAAAGCAAGTGGACCATGGGGATGTCACAGCCAACTGCCAGCTCTGGCCTGGCCATCTCAGCAGGACGAGCAGATCTCACATCCATGGGTCAAGCCCTGTTTGTGCTGCCACATAAAGGGACCTGGGAGTGACCCACGTGAAGATTTGCTGATGCTGGCGCCACTGTGGAAAGAAAAAGGTGTGAAGCCCAACCCCCTTGCCCACGGCCGTGCTGGGCTGAACACTAGCAGATGCGATTTGTCCAGCACTGACCAAGTGCCAGGCGTCAGGCGGAAGCTTCTCAGAGATGTCGCCTCTGGGATCCTCCCAGCAACCCACCAGGAACAGACTCTTGTAATCTCCATTCAACCCACTGATGCCAAGGGAGGTTAAGGAAACAGTCGGTGCTCATGACTTGCACTGCTACCTCGGCATTCTTGAGCAAATGTAGAACACCGCTGGTCTTGAAGACATCCTGTCATCAGGAGCCTAATTCCACCGCTGACTGCTATTCTCTGGTGTGTGTCACGTATGCCTTGGGATGCCAATGGTCCCTGGGGACATTTTGCCTCCGTGGGGTCAGCAGATGCACCGTCACCCCAGAACACACCTGCACATTCCGGAACACAGTTCTCTCCTGCCCACCGGCCAGATAAACGTGATCCTATTTTCTACACCTCATTACTCCCCATCCTTCCAGGCCCCACCCCGACTTTATGATGTCTTCATGCGCATGATGGCAAAAAAATATTTTCTACCCAAAGAGAGAGAAACAAAACTTAATAAGCAGATTTCCAGAGCAAGAAGATGTAACCCCTGGCTCCGAAGCAAAGCAGCTCCCTCTGCGCATCTGAAGCTCGTGATGCGGCTGAATCCACAGGGCTCACGTCTCTCCTGCCTGTGCTGGAGGTGGCCGTGGGGAGGCAGGGGGAGGACTCCATCCATGGGCAGAGGGACTGGGAGGAGTGGCGGAGCATGGCGCTGCTCCTCACTCTGGCTCACAGACCTAGGAAAGTGGTTCACCATCTATGTCACGTATGGGAGCTGCCCGTGCCATCCAGGCAGGCTGTACCCCAAACCAGGTGCACAGCTAGCCTGTGGGTCACCCTGGTGGGTCCCAGTCCCAACTGATTATTTATGCCTCCTTCATTAGGGGGACAAAGGTGCCATTGGGATGCCTGGACGTGTGGTGAGTTGGCCCATTTGAACCTGCTCGGGGGGGCCATTGCTTGCTTCTCCATGCTGGCCTGTCCTCCAACCATGGCAAGATGCTGCCCACCCCAAGCCCAGAGAAAGGGGAACCTTCAGGGAGGGACAGGGAAAGAGAAGGGAAGAAATTGTATTCCAGTCTTCAGACCTCAAAATAGGGTTTTGCAGAAGTTCACCCTCATCCACAGTCTCTGTGGTCAACCGTGGTCCAGAAATATTGCTCTGCATAATAAGGTATTTTGAAGCCAGGCATGATGGCATAGGCCTGTAATCCCAATAATTTGGCAGGCTGAGGCAGGAGAATTGCAAGTTTGAGACTGGCCTGGGTGACTCAGTGAGACCTTGTCTCAAAATAAAAGAAATAAAAAGGGCTGGGCGTAGTGACGCACGCCTGTAATCCCAGCAGCTCGTGAGGCTAAGGCAGGGGGATCACAAATTTAAAGCCAGCCTCAGCAAAAGTGAGGTACTGAGCAGCACAGTGAGACCCTGTCTCTAAATAAAATACAAAATAGGGCTGGAGATGTGGCTCAGTGGTAATGCCCCTGAGTTCAATCCCCAGTACCCACAAAAAAATAAAAATATTAAAAAATAAAAAGGACTGGAGAATGTAGCTCAGTGGTAAATCACCTCTGGGTTCAATTCTCAGTATTAAAATAATAAGAAGAAGAATATATTTTGAGAGACCACATTTACATAACTTTAAAAAATATATTGTTGTAATTTTTCTATTTTATTATATTTATTGTTAATATTTTACTGTGCCTAATTCATAAGTTAAACTTTATCATAGGTATGTATGTATATGTATGCATGTATTTTAAAAAAAAAAAAACTGTATATACAGGGCCCGTTACAATCTAAAGTTCCCAGTGTCCACTGGGGGTCTTGGAATATGTCCCCTTTGGATAACCTGGGCCCCACAAAAAGCTGACACAGCAAGAGAAAAAAATCCAAAAAAATTTGCACCAACAAAGCTTTTTGCGGATCACCTCCTGGGTGATAGGGTGAGGCCCAGCCTCTGCATTGGGAGGCCTCGAGGCTGGCAGCTCCCCGTCAGGTTTACAGCTGTTCCTGCCACCTCCCCCCAGTAGGCCCACAGTGTCCAGAGGGGTCTTGTGGAGATGGAGACTCAAAGACAGGGAAGCCAGGGCCTGCTGCCAGGCGGTGCCTCCAGGTCCTCGCTAGGGCGTGAAAATACTTAATGTCTCCCGCTGAGAAATGAAGACAGAAAAGGAGATGAGAATGGATAAAAGGGAGAGTGTTGTCCAGAAATGGAAAGGCTGGCACCAGGCCCCGAGGTCTCGGCACCCGGGTTTTTCCTGGCAGTCTCTCCATGCTGGTCTCCAGGGGGCCAGAAAGGCTGCAGCCCGAGGAAGCAGTGGCCACGTACCAGCCTCACCGTCACACGGCCTGGTCCAGGACATGGCCAAGGCGGCGCCCCCCTGATCCCTGACTTCCCCCAGCCCTGGCCTCCACCTCCAGCCTGGCTCCCCAGGCACCTCCCCTCCCCCACCATCCCCCTCCCCGCCATGCCGTTCTTGGCTTGGCCTCTGAACCTCACCTTCTGGGCTGGGATGGCCTGGGGCATGGCTGTGGCATCCTTGTGTGGATTTGCATGCCTGGTGTGAGCATGGGAGACGGCCCAGCTAGCCCCTGCCAGCGCTGACTCCATGCTGGGCCCTGTGCCAGGGCTTCACACGCATTATGAGCTCACTCAGTCCTCACGAGAACTGCAGGAGGTAGCCATCATTTCCATCCCCGTTTTTCAGATGAGAAAACTGAGGCCTAGAAGTACGATGTCTTTCTCAAGGTCACACAGTCAGGAAGTGGCCGAGCAGGGACTTGAACCCGGACAGCCAGACTCCAAACTTGTGCTCCTGACCCTGGCAATGCACCCACAGTATCACAGCTCTCCATACCACAGCTCTCCGGAGGGTCTGATCCTGGGGCCAAAGCCCCCAAGGCCTGAGACATTCCAGAGACAAGTGTTCTGTGCCACAAAGCTTTGAGTTCCCCAGGGCCCCCCCCCCCAAGCCTGTCTGTCAAGGAATGGGCGTTGGTAGCCCTGGGCCCCCTCGAAGCTCTCCCACTTAGTCCACACCAGAACACCCAAGCAGCCCCTGGGCCCTGAACAGAGCAGGGAACAGTCCTGCATCCTCTCCTGGGCTTGCTGGGTAGGGGCTCTCCCCATGGGCAGGGGCTGGCCTGGAGGGGAGGCTGCAAAACACAAAGTGGCACCCCCTGCCTCCTGCCCCCACCCTTCCTGCCCTCCTCCTTGGGCCCTGTTGCCATCTGCCCACCCTCCCCCCAGGAAGTGCCCCTCTGAGTTTATCTTGACCCACAGCAGTGGGGAGAGGTGGGGAGCCACAGGAGGTCTCCCACTTCCTTCTGGCCAAGGCTACTTTCAAGACACTTTGGGGCTTCACACTGCCTGTGCTATTTTAAATGTGGCAATGGGCCCATTTGGCTGCCGGCTAGGGGTCCTGGCAGGAGCCTCCTGATAAGGACAGCTTGTGAAATTCCTGGGTCATTACCATGTGTTACCAGAGGGGGCACCATTGGCTCACTGGGAGGAGGGCGGATGGGACTAGCCATCCACTGGGCGCCATGTTCCAGGAGACCCTTGGCCCACCACCCAGTTTTCTCTGCATGCTGACCTGCCCTCCAGGTGTGCAGATATGTGCATCCACCCATGTCCCTCTGCCTCCCCCCACACCTGGCCTGGGCAACCCTAACAGCTCTGGGCTTGTCTAGCCTGCCAGAGCTTTGTACTTGGTCCCCAGCGGGGCCTTCAAAGCTCCTAGAGTCCACCACAGCCTCATCTCCCCCTCCCATGGACTTAGCCAGCTGGGTCATGGCTTCTTGGACACACCTACTGACCTACATGGGTCTTGAGTTCTCTCTCTCTCTCTCTCTCTCTCTCTCTCTCTCATGGGTGCGCGCACACACACACACACATGCACATCCCTGGAGAGGGCCTCCTGCAGCCCCAGCCACTGTTCCCGGGTGGTTGGAGCAGCCGACCAGGCCTGGAGCAGGGTGAGGCCGAGCTTCCACATGCGTTGCTTCTTGGCCGGGGGACCTGTCGCGTGTCAGCGTCTGTGTTTTGCTGTTTTCTATTTCACGGTGATTTCCTCCATTTGCTTGCTGTGCTGTGGACATGCATTCTTGGTCGGTGCCTGTCTCTCACCCTCTTGCTTTTTCTCTCCCTCCCCCTCTTCCCTGCATCCTGTGTCACCTGTGGCTGTCCCAGGGAGTGAAGGGCCAACCGGGCGAGAAGGTGAGTCCACACTTTCCCCGTCCGCCCCACCTACCCTTCTGGTTTCAGCAAGACTCTTGGTGGTGGGGAAGGAGTCCCCCGCAGCACCCCCATCCCAGCCTCCCCTGCCACGCCCGTGCGGGCAGAGCGTGCGACAGGCCTGTCCCAACTGCCAGCTTCCCGACAGCTTCCACACCCTCAAGCCTGAGCCTTGGGATTCCTGGGCCGCCCCCCAGCCCTCCTGGAGGAGTGGGTCTCCCCAGCCCTGCCTTCGTGACTTCATGGGGCCTCATAGCTCTGGGTCCCTGCCAGGCTGTCACCCTTCCCCTAGGCAAGGAGGCCAGCTCATTGCTGTTGAGTGGCTGGAAATGCCCAGGGGGCCCCGGAACCTAGAGAGGAGCCCCTGGGAAATCAGAGCCCAGCAGCTCGGCCCTGGTGAGCTCTTGAGAGACTTCAGAACACAAGCTATCGAAGCAGCTCACGTGACAGGAGGACCCTGAAGCCCAGAGAAGGGCGGGGACTGCCCAAGGTCCCACAGCAGTAGTGAGGAGCAGGATCTAGAAGCCAAACCTCCAGGCGCCTAGCTCAGCACTCCCAGGATGGCACAGGAAGTATTTCCCCAGCAGAGTCTCCCAAAATAACAACAATGGCAATAATAATAACAGCAGCATCGGCGTATGCAGCATGAGTCCTGTCAGGCCCTGTTTTAAGTATGTTTGTCACTGACGTAACCCTTCCAGGGAAGTTTCATATTCCTGTGTTCCTGGGGACAGGGAGGCAAAGTCACACACCCAAATCACCCAGCTGGAAGGTGTCAGAGCTGGAGAGGAACCCAGCATGCCCACCCCCAGGCCGTGCAGTCCTCCAAAGGCTCGGAGACTATGGGTTGCACCCCGGCCGGGAGTGGAACCCCCAGGAGAAAGGCCCAGGCCCGGATGTGCTGAGTACTCTGCAGCATCAGGCTGTGACGTTTTCACCTGCACCCAGTGGGACGGTGCTGTCACTCCTGCTGCAAACCAGCTCACCCCAGGTCACCCAGCTGGGGTCAGGAGCAGAGGGGGCCTTCAAACCCAAGCACCCTGGCTTTTACCACTGTGCACCACTATGTCCTAAAAAATTCACAGTGTCATTGTCATGGCAAAAACACCGGCGAATCTGAAGTCACCCTCACTGTTTGGGAGGCGTGACATTGGACAAAAAGCATTTCTGCCCCTTCCCTGAAGAGCTGCCCGTGCCCTCAGCATCGCCCCTCAGGCTCAGCCACCCGTGTCAGCGCTTGGCGCTCCTAACCCAGCACCCTCCGTCCCGCAGGGCTAAAGGTTGTGCCCCAGCCTTCACGCCCCAGGGTGGCCTCCAACCAGACCTAGAAACTCCAGGCCACCTCCACCTGTCAGTCCCAGGCTGTGGGCCCAAGCTGTGTGTCTGTGTCCCCAACCCCCGTCCCACAAACCCACGCTCAGGGGCGGTCTCCGTCCACCAGTTGCAAGGTCTGCAGCCAGACAGGTGTTTGGGGACGGACAGGGAGGAAGACCTGGGGGCTCTGGAACCTGGTGAAGCCTGGGGGCCTGGACAGCCTTGGCTGAGCCTGCCCCTTCCCTGTCACTGTCTGTCCCCTCCCTCTGTCCCCCACACCTCACGTTCTTGCCCACATGGCTTTTCTGCTGCTTCCTGCTGCTCTTCTCAACTCATCCGGGACATTCCGCTCACCCGCTTTGTGCTCCCCAATTCCCTGTTCTCGACACTCTGGCCTCCCTCACCCATTCCCTTGTCCTCTACACCCTGGCCTCCTTCTGGCCCGTGGGGTCCCCCCCCGCCCCACCTGCCAGCACCCCCTTTAGTCTCCTCTGCCCTCTCCTCTGCCCCCGCCCCACGCTCCCTCTCCCTTCCTCCTTCCCCACAGGGTGCCCCTGGAGACTCCGGGATGTCCATCATCGGTCCCCGCGGCCCCCCTGTAAGTTGTCGCTCTTTGGGGGGCATGGAGGGTGGGGAGGGTTAGTGGAAAGGGCTTGGAGGGGGGCCAGGGGAAGGCGAGGCTTGGCCGTGTCCCTGGGCGCGTCAACCACATGTGATGCGGTCAGTCCTGCCGGCCACAGAACTGCTGTTGATGTTAAAGAAAGTGACCTCACTAAATGTACCTCAACGACAGCCTCGGAGAGGGCTGGGAGGCTGGGCCTTTAGCCACAGGCCCCCGGCAGCTGTGAGGCGGCCCCTCTGTTTACAAGCAGAAGGGAAAGTGCGGCTCCCTGGGTGCAGCCCCAGCCTCCGGGGAACGAGACTGCTGTGTTTCCAAAAGCCAAGTTCAAGGTTGTGGACCAGCTGGCGCTCCTGGTCTTGGTGGGCCCTCGCCCACCACTCGCCCTCCAAGGCGCCTTTCCACAGCAGCTCTGGCTCCTGCATGTCCCTTAGCCGTGACTCTGCAGAGCTTGGGAAAACCAGCGTGGCTTCCCTGGGACGTGCTTCCTTGGGGACTGTGACAGGCACGTGGGCGACGGAGCCAGCAGATAGCGTTCCAAGAGCACCCACCCACGGGGCTGCGAGAAAAACACCAACTTCTCACGGATGTCGTGGGGTCACGGGTCCCCAGATGTGTTTAGAACAGTCCTCTCAAAAGGGGACAGTGAGGCCCAGGGAAGGGAAGGGGCTTGGTTCCCAGGCTTTCAGGCAGCAGCAGGCTCGGGTCACACGTGCTGTCTTCCTGACCTCCCGCGCACAGAGAGGGGGTCAGGAACAACCAAAAGAGGGTGAAGCCCAGCCCGCCCATGGTCCTGCCTTCAACAAAGAGCAGAGCAGGAGCCTCCCACCTCGGGTGGGGGAGAAGGGTCAGGAAACAAGTCGCCAGGTTGCGTCCAAGGTAGGAGGCCGCTAGGAGCTTGAAGACCCAGGATGAGACATGCTAAGTCTGGGGGCTGAGAGGCAGAGCCAGTCAGAGGTGCTGAGGGGAAGAGCAAGGAGCAGAAGGATGAGCAGGGTCCTGGGCCGGAGCAGCATTTGAATAGACCTGAATGAGGAGACTTGTCCTTATCAACAAGCTTTCTTCTGGACTCCGCCTGCACAATAATGGTGAGGACTGACACTGGTCTGTGGCAGTTAGTATCCTGAGACTTCCACACCTATTAACTCACTTAATCCTCCCAGGAGAACCTCAAGAGGTAAGAACTGTTTTGACCTCCACTTTACACATGAGAAAACCAGGGCACAGAGAGGTTGAGTGGCTTACATAAAGTCACACGGCTAGACAGTGGCCACACTGGGAGTGATCAGCCAGCCATGGCAGTGTGACTCCTAAGTGAGTGCATTAAACCTGCTATTGTAATGGCCTGGTCAGACGGCCGTGTCACCGTCACTCCTGGCTCACGTGGCTGCTGCTCTGATGTGCCTCCTTATGTCCTGGGAGAGCCACAGTGCAGATGCCCGGAGCCCAGCTGTGTGATAGGAGGGTCACAGAGAAAGACGGTCCCCTGGTTCTGGCATGGAGATGGAGCCTGGGGTGGGCCTGACGGTGGGATGGGGAACAACACAGAACAGGCCCACCCTGCCTACTTCCCGTGGTGACCAGACAGGTTCTGCTGCATGGCTTAGGTAGGTCCTCTGATGCCCGTTCAGCAAACCTGACAGGCTCCCTTAAAGTCTCTGCTGAGGCTGCCCTTCTGCAGCACGTGCCCTGTGCTGTCTGTAGCTGGGCCCAGCATGCAGGAGGCCCCTGGGGAATAAACCACCACGCTGGGGTTGAATCCGTGGTGAGGAGCACCTTCTGCTAGGATGACAGTGGTGACGTCCATCTCCTGGGCACCAGTCACACACTGAATCTCCTTCAGGCCTCTGGCACAGCAGCCCCACCAGCCCAGTTTCCAGAAGGAAGCAGCTCACACTCACCCAGGCGTGCCCGCCTGCGAGGGCTGGAGCCAGGGTCTGGCCAGGTCGGCCTCACTCTAAGCTGCACTTCCCCCAAGTGCCCCTTCTGTCTTGAGGCGCTAATGTACATACAGGACCTTCACCTTCAGGAGAAACCGTTGTTTCTATGGGCACCCAAGTTGGCGCTGGGAAAGGTTTTCTGGCCCCAGGAGTCCTGGCCAAGCCCAGGGTCCTTCAACTCTGGCCCATGTGGGTGACCGTCACCAGGATGGCTTGGCCACCCTAGTCCAGGGGCCGCCCTCCTAGCTCCTACTCTGCCCTGGGCTGGGGAGAGTGGGGAAGGGGAGGCAAAGGGTCTGCTTGTCATTAGGACAGAGGTCAAGGGGCAAGTCCGAGGCGGCAGCCGGGACTGATGGGAACATGTGGCTCTCCGCTCGGCCAGGAAGGGCCCAGAATGAATGCTGCTCATCAGAAGCAGCCTCACCGCCCTCAGGGCCACCTGCCTGCTCTCCTGGAGCTTGATAAACGGTCTAAGCAAAGGGGGGCCAGCCGAGCCCTTCATGGACGGGTCATTCTCGTTCCAGTCAGGCAAGTGGCCGGGGCAGCGCCTGGGCATGTGGGCTCCGAGAGCCCATGACAATGGGGCCGGACCCTGAGCTGCCGGGCAGGTCATCCACCAGGTTAGGGGACACCCCTATCTTACAGGGCTCCCGAGCCCCGCAGAGGGGAAACCTGAACTTCTCTTGTCCACAGGGAGCTGCCCCGCGTCCCCGAGCTGAGCTGCTCTGTTAGGATCGAGGTGCCAGGGGACGTGCCCCTCCAGGCCCTCGGTCAGGGAACAGGGGGCACATGGAGGGGGCACTGGGCCTGGCCTGGGGGGACAAGGAAGGCTTCTGGAAGGACAGGGAACTCACCTGACTCCAGGACTTCACAGGCTGCCCAGGTGGGGAGGCGGGGGAGGGTGCCGAGCCTCGACCTGGAGAAGCACCCGGAGCCTGAGGAGAGAGAAGGCCTTCGGGGGACACCCCAGGGGCGAGGCCAGCAGGGCCTCCTCACAAGGAGCCCGACACAACGTTCAGGAGCTAGATCTTTGTACCAAGGGTGGTGGGGAGCCCGCGGCTTGGGGGACACGATCCGATGTGCAGATCCAGGCCCTCCCTGCTCCTCCCTGATCCGGAGGAAGCTGTTCAGAGGCTGCGTCTGGGGACTGGAAGGCGCCACAGTCACCAACGCCTGGCCTGGAGCCGAGCCAGTGGCCCTGGGAGGGGTGGACCAAAGGGACATTTCAGAGGTGGACTTGATGAGTGTTGTGATGATCAAGGAGACTTGAGGAGAAGCAGGCACCCGGGGCTCACGCTGCTGACCTGAGAGGCGGCATCCGGCCATGTGCTTCCTTCCCAGGAGCAGGGCTTGTGGGGCGGGGGCGGGGGGGGGGAGGTTCCCTGGAGCAGATGAGGCGGGGGTGTCCGCAGGATGCGGGGGGGGGGAACTGGGCACTGGCTGCGGGAGGCTCGGGGTGCTGGGTGCTGTGCCAGAGCCCCTCCTCCATTTGTGTACCTCCTGCCAGTGGGGTTTGGCGACCTCCCATTGATAGCTCAAATTGGCCACCGTGGGAGATTCTCTCCACAGGCCTCGGCAAAGGCCAGGCATGCAGGTGCTCCTCTCCCGCCCACCAGCCCCATCGGGGATCCAGTGGTTCCCAGGCTCCACGAGGTGGTCATTGGCTCCGACTTGGAGGCAAGCCCCAGGCAGATACAGGACTGACCCTCTTTGGGGCATCAAATAGGAGAGGAAGGGGACTCCCCAGTAGGCTCTTGCCAGACAGAACTTTCCATCTGGGTTGCTTCGCCCCACACAAGTTGCAGGTGGGAGAAAGACCAGGAGCATTAGCAGAGGGTCCGCCTTCAGCAGGCAAACCCCCCTGAACTCCCTTTCTGCCCCAGCCTTGAATCAGGGGGGAGAGTGCAGAGACCTGGGGAAAGCCGCTTTCCCTCCTCCTTGTGTGGAAGGAGATGACGCTAATGCACAGACTCCTCTGCCAGCAAATCTATCATCTACCATTTAATGCACTCCTTGTCCCCGTGAACTTTTTATGGGGTGGGGCGTCCAGTAAAATATTGAGATTCATTCAGAAAAAATTAGCTTGTAAGAATGTCAGGAACCCTCTGGGAAGTGGGGAGAGGGGGTCAGGAGGAGATATCAACATATACCATAAAAGCAGAGCGATCCCAGTGAACAAATGGAGAGGATAGAAGGGCGAGACCAGAAGGAGGACACAGGCAGGGATTTGGTACGTGAGAGGCTTTGTTTCAGAGCAGGGAGAGAAGAAAGGTGGTCAGGAAACAGTCTGGGGCCGCTGGCAGTCCGCTCGGGAAAAAGTGAACTGAAAAAGTTTTGCTTAGCTGAATCTCTGTCCCACTCATTATATCAGGACAAATTCCCAATGAGTAAAATATTCAGGTGTAAACATAAGCCACAGAATGAGAGGACAAAGCATGAGTGAATGTTTTATAGATCTGAAGTGGGGAAGACCCTTTCAAAACATGGCATTAAACCCAGAGTCAGGCTGGGGCTGGGGCTCAGCGGTAGAGCACTTGCCTAGCATGTTTGAGGCACTGGGTTCGACCCTCAGCACCACATATACAGTAAATAAAATACAGGCATTCCGTCCATCTACAAGTATAAAAAAAAAATTTAAAACCCTGAAACCACAAGTAAACATTAATGATTTGGGACATGGAGGAAAATATGCCATAAGCAAAGTCCAATACAAAAGCAAGTTAGAAAGTATTTTCAACACATCTGATGACTAAAGAGTTAATATTCTTACTGGGTATGGTGGCATACAGCTGTGATCCCAGTGGCTGGGGAGGCTGAGGCAGGAGAATCTCAAATTCAAGGCCAGCCTCAGTAACTTATCAAGGCCCTAAGCAACTTGGTGAGACTCTGTCTCAAAGTAAAAGCTAAAGAAGTGCTGGGGATGCGGCTCAGTGGTTAAGCACCCCTGGGTTCAATCCCCAGTACAAAAAAAAAAAAAAGTTAATATTCTTGACAAAGAGCTTTGAAAAGAGATAAAAGGTAAACCACCAGTAGAAAATACTATTAAACCCTGGTTGCTGTGGTTTGTACCAGTCATCCCAGCTACTCAAGAGGCTGAGGCAGGAGGACGGCTTAAACCCAGGAGTTCAAGGCCAGCCTGGGCAACATAGCGAGATCCTACCTAAAAATGTATGTATGTGATGAGTACAAACAGGTAGCTCACTGACCTGAAAAGGGCTGGCCAATGAGATGGCTGGCATGGTGGCACCCACTTGGGAGGCTGAGGCAGGAGGATGCCAAGTTCAAGTCCAGTCTGGGCAACTTAGTGAGACCCTGTCTCAAAAATTAAAGAAAAAAAAGAGCGGGGGATCTCAGGGTGTGGCTCAATGTAGAGAAATTGCTCAACATATGCAAAGCACCGGGTTCAGTCCCTGGTACCCCCCCAAAAAAAAAATTGAAATAAATGTTTCAGTTTAGCATATAATTGAGAAGATATAAATTAAAATTCAGTTCCAAGTCTCCCTAAGTGCCTTTCCCAGGCCCAACATCTCCGGGAAGTGGAGTCCCAGTTTCCATTTGGTCGAAGACACATTCCTACCCAAATCCCTGGAAAAGGCCTGGTCAGCCCTGGACCTGGCCCTGGGCTGGAGAGCTCTGTCCTGCTACCAGGGCCAGCTCTGTCATTAGTAAACCGTGTGATTATCCCGACCACGTAAACATTAGCCAGAAGGAGCCTTGAAGAGGTTTCTTGGAAGCGCCTCCTCCTGACCTTTCCTGGGGCCTCTCCTACGTGGGGAATAGTTTACACTGCGAGGCTTCGGGGATGGCATTGCTCGGTTTCCGGGGTTTCTCCTTAGGGCTATTCTTAGCATCATTTATCCTTGAGAGGAGAGAAGCCGAGGGCCCTTCGGACACACGAGTGGCATCGCCTCCCCCTTGTCCTCTGGGTGCCTGCCACAAGTCCACCCTGAGCCCCAGCTGGCTCCCTGCTGGACCCTCACGCCCACCCTGACGTGGCAGTGTCCCCATCCTACGCAGCCAGGTGGCCTCGGTGTTCCCGGAGCAGAGGTCTCTGGACACTCTGGAGGATCCAGGCAGCCGGGGGACAGTTCAGGGTCCCAGCAGAGGAAGCCAGAGAGGTCTTCCTCTGGGTTGATTCTGGAACCACTTGACTAGGACTGACCTCCCTGAAACCAAGGCACGCTGTGCTCAAAGGCAACCTTGCTTTATTCTGGCACCTTCTCTGTTCAGGTCAATTCAACCAACATTGGTCGGTCACAGCTACCATTTTGATTTCCAAACATCCTGGAATGTCTTTCAGTGGCTCTGAGGTCCTACTGTCATCTCCGTTCTACAGACAGGCAACTAAGGCTCAGGGAGGTCGGACAACTTGCTCAGAGTCACACAGCGGTGGTTGTTGGGGCAGGGTTAGAACTCCATCTCCCACACTCCAAAGCCCATTCCTGGGAAGGACTGTGACCATCTAAGCCAAGGGCAACCCCAAGCGGAGAGCAGGACATGTGTGTTCTGGGAAAGGCAAGTGAGTGGGCTGCCTGGGGCAGGAGAGGAAACTGACAGGGTCCATCTGGAAGAGAGCGAGGACCACCTGGAACGAGGAGGAGGAGCCCTGGTGGCTCTTGAGAAGGGACGGGAGGGGATTCCCGATGTTTAGTTCTGGTGATCGTCAACCTTCTGGTGGCCTCCAGCCCAGCGTCCTCAGAGCCTCGTGCTGCTTCTGTCCTGCATCTTGACCACAGACCGCTGGGCTCTGACCACTGAGCAGGACTGTCCCTTGGGCCCACTCTGCACCCCCAGGGAAACAGGCAGGGATTTCCAGGAGGGCAATCCCGGGGATGCTGGGAGAAGCCCGCAGGCCAGGGTGAGCTGAGAGCGAGCAGGCTGACCTGTTGTAGCCCGAGACACACAGCCCAGAGGTCAGGGCATCTGCTGATACTCAAGCCATCCCCGATAAGTGGCCACGAGCCGTGGCTGTAAATGCAGAGCAGGCGGAGGAGGCGTTTGATCTGGGAGTTGAGGGGACCACCGACGGAGGCCCTGCTATCTTGGGGGCCCATCCCACAGCAGTGAGGAGCGCTCCCGGGGCCCCCTCCGGGAAGCAGGCCTAGGCTGCCGGCCCTGTCTTCCTCTCCCCGTCCCTATCCTTCATGGATTTCCTCTGAAGACCCATCTCCCTGGTTCTCTGCCCTGTCCTCCCTGCAGCGCACCCACGTGGTGAATGTGTCCCACACGGGCGCCGAGGGATGGGCGCCCGGGGGAGCTGGCCTGTCCTCCCCTGCTGCCCACCCTCATGTGCTCCTGTTCTTTCCAGGGCCAGCCAGGCACGCGAGGCTTTCCTGGATTCCCGGTGAGTGAGGAGGCTGAGGGGGCCGGGGGCCGGGGGCTCCGGCTGGGTTAAACCCCTCCACTGAGGTCGCCCGACGCTGCCCTTTCCCTTCCAGACCCTGGCCGTTAGGACCCGCCTCGGCTGCCTTTCCCAGACACTGGCCGGGGGAGTAGCTCAGGGCTTGGCTCCTAGTGGGGAAAGGGACAGGAACATAGATACCTACACAAATAAAGGGGCCGTAGGGCAGGAGGGGAAGTCGCAAGCTGGAAACCCCAGCGGGACCCTGGACCTGGACAGGAGACCCTGAGAGGAGGCCCACCAGGGTGGCCCTGTGGGTGCCCTTGACTGCTGCCCAGGGGGCCCGAGGCAGGTTCTGAGAGGCAGGACCAGGGGAGCAGCTAGTGCCCTTTTCCTGGGGCCCTCTGCTGAGCCACGCCTGGTGTCCACTCTCTACTTGGGGTAAGAAGTCCTTGGTATCAGTGACAAAGTCACCCACTTGGTTCCACTGGCAGGCAGCACCCATTCCCTTTGGAGAAGGTGCTGTTCTTCTTGTCCCCCTCTTAGGATGGGACAGGAGGCCTGGGCTTACTCACGGTCACAGAACCAGCAAGGGGTCAGCGGGGCTGGGCCCGCGACTCGACAGGAGCAGAGGCTTCACGCCCACCCGTGGCGCCGGGCTGGCCCCTGGCAGGAGGCCTGGGGTGCTCCGTCTTTACATCTGTTTTTTCTGCTTTCAGGGTCCCATTGGGCTGGACGGCAAGCCGGTAAGTGGGCCCGCTCAGGCTGGGGGTTCCTCCCCGCCCACCAGGGTCCAGCTCACTAACCCTGGGTCTCACTCCCCCTGCAAGACCCTGACTCTTTGGAAGGTGATTTTGGAAATTATGGGCTGGAAGTGTGGCTGGTGGAGGGGGAGGAGGGGCTATTCCAATGAGCACCCCCACCCCAGTGGCTTCCCCAGAGCACAAGGCCCTGTGGCCACGCTGGCCACGCCCAGAATGTGGGGACTCTGCAGTGCCTGGAAGGGGCCTGAGCAAGGCAAGAGGCAGCGGAGGTGGAGGAGTGGACAGGTCCACAGTCTAATCCTGAAAGGCCGGCCACCGTCAGGCCCTGGCCCCGGCCCCCGCACCAGCAAGGAGCTCACGCAGAATTGCAGTCTCCCTCCCCAGCCAAGGCCCCCCAACTTAAGGTGGGAATCCGGCCACTCGCCCTGCAGGCCAACAAGCACGTGCTGCCTGGAGACCCCTGGTGGTCATGTCTACTCACCCCCAGGACCAGACACCCCACAGCCAGAGACCAGCCCCACCTCTGCCCACCTCTGAAGAGCAGGCAGTTGCTAGTAAGGCCCAGAGAAGGCCAGGTGGGAATGACCTTGCTGGTGGACTGGGTGGCCCAGCCAGCGATGGAGTGACCAGATGAGACAGGAAAGAAGCCAGCAGCGTGTTGAGGATGGGTAGCCGTCGGGGGAGGGGGTGGGGGGGTCGTCTACCTGGCAAACAGTGTAGCTGCCACTCACTCCTCCCTTCTCCTTCCAGGGCCATCCCGGACCAAAAGGGGACACGGTAAGACCCCAGCTTTCTTGCCTTCTGAGATGGGTTGGAGGGTCATTCTGGGCTCACTGCCCAGAAAAGGGACTGTGGTAGTGACTGCCCCTCACAGGTCACACCCCGGCCATGCACACCAAAAGCCCTGGATCCTCATGGCATGCAGGGGGACAGGTGAGTGAGGCTCTGCCACCCAAGACAAGAACCACCCAGGGGGGCAGCAGGGGGCAGGGGAGTCAGTACCTCACTCCACATTCCCAAGCTGCACCCATGGCTCTTGAGGACAAGCCGACATGGGCACTCCCATTGCAGCTGTCCTTGGAGGTAGCCAGGGACATTTGTACTTAGCCTGATTCCCCTCTCCCACTATGGGCATTTGTACTTAGCCTGATTCCCCTCTCCCACTGCGGGCATTTGTACTTAGCCTGATTCCCCTCTCCCACTGCGGGCATTTGTACTTAGCCTGATTCCCCTCTCCCTGTGCAGGCATGTGTACTTAGCCTTATTCCCCTCTCCAACTGCAGGCTGTGCCCTGAGTTGCCCCAGCTGGGCACAGAGGAGAAGCAGACTTCGGCCCCACCTCCCTCCTGACCCTTCCACCTTGTGCAGAACATTTAAAAGGAATCCAGGGATACCCACTCCCAGTGAGTGGCCAGTTCTCAGCAGAGACTGACAGGCCATTGGGAGCAAGTGGGACACCCTGGGCCAGCGTGCCTTCCTGCCTCCCAAGTTTTGCCTCCCGCTCCACTGGCTGGTGGCAGGGTTAGACTCTGTGTGGGTGGTGGGGGCGAGAGCAGGTGTCAGGCTCCCCCATCCTGGCAGCCAGGGTCTGATTCCCCCCTTGCTCCACATGCCGGTGACCCAGACACTGCCAGGTCACTGAGACAGGCAGATCATCCTGTGAATGCAAAGGGAGATGGAGAAGTGCTACTGAGACTCCGGGGGTCAGTCCCAGCTGGGCGACCATAGCAATGGGCTCCTTCCAGGCCTCCCCATCCTCTGGATTCAGATTCAGTTTGCTGTGTGAGCCGCACCGCCCTGAATTCTTCACATGTTCATTGTTGGATGAATATCATAGAGTTACCTACCCAAGCCAGCTACGCCATTTATGTGGTCCATCAATAGCTGGGTGCCACGGCACACGCCTGTAATCCCAGCTACTCAGGAGGCTGAGGCAGGAGGATCACAAGTTCAAGAACAGTCTCGCAACTTAGCGAGACCCTGTCTCAAAATAGAATTAAAGAGACTGAGGATGTAGCTCAGTGGTAGAGTGTCCCTGGGTTCAATCTCTAGTACCACAAAACAAAACAAAAGTCACAAACAAATGTGTGCTCCATTATTGACCGAAACATCATTAATGCGGCACATGACTGTATTATCTAATTTATTTCTCAGTGGGAACCTGTGTTCCAGGTCCCATTAGTATCCCCTTTGACAGTCGTAGAAATGGAGACTCAGAGAGTTGAAGTAAGTAGCCTGAAGTCACACAGCCAAGAAACGTCCGAAACAGGATCCGAACCTAGTTCTCAAACCTTTCCTTCTCCCCTCATGGCGTCCCCACTGTTTTGTTCCCCTCTCTCTCCACCTGCCTTCCCACCTCCTGCCTTCCCCCTCCTGCCTCCCCTTGGTGCCTTTTCATTGAGCATATAAAGTATGCTGGGCACTGCAGTCGGTGCTAGGGATGGAGACAGGAGCCAGAGAGACGCTGTCCTTGCCATCTTGGAGACACAGCCTAGTGAAGGAGACAAACAGTTAAATAATCCCTCATGCAATCAGCAAATCGCCTTGCAAAACAAGCTATAAAAAGTCAACCCCAATACCCTGAGAAACCTCTGTGTAACTGAACCTCCCCAGCTGAGGATCTGAGACAGCTCTCCTGAGAAGGAGATTTCTGAACTGGGGCTGAAGAATGAGGATTTCACCAAGAGAAAATAGAAAAAGGGATGGAAAGGAACAGTCTGGGTGTGGGAGAACAGCATATGCAAAGGCCCTGAGCCACGGAGTCCTCAAAATTTCAACAGAATGAGAGGAAGGACAGCGAGGCATGGAGTGGGAAAGCAGGACTGGAAGTCAGGGCCCCTAGCACCCTTCCCCCCATCATGGCACCAGGCATCCCTCCCTGCTCCTACTTGTCCTCAAGCACACACACACATGCAGGACACAACAGAGGCCAAAGCAGCAGTAAACTTCCATGACACCGTTGTCGTTGTCGTGAAGCAGCAGGGGTTTGGTTGTTGGGGGTTTGGAGTGCCAACCCCTTTAGCCCTCTGCCCCACCTCCTTCCCCTTCCTAGCAGCCTGACACTAACATAAGGTAGCCGGTGACACCTGGAAAGTGATAATTAACTGTCATCACCAGTCACTGTTCTGGAGTCCTCACGATAGCTCATATTCCCCACTTGAGGGGAAAATTAAGGCACAGAGTGATTAAGTGTGTTGCCCTGAGGCCACACAGCTTTAAATACCAGAGCTAAGATTCAGACCCGTGTCATGGGGTCCTACCCAGGTGCCTTCCTTGTCCGTTAAGGGTCAGAGCTGACTTGGGAGAAAGGGCAGGGCCCTCCCATGCCCCTGAGCCAGTCCAGTATGACAGATCCCTGACCTGTGCCATCGTCACCCATAGACCCACAGGGCACAGAGCCATTAGACCCCAGCCATTAACTGGCCACTGCTGTCTCGCAGGATTGTCTCCACCTTGTCACCCGACCATCTCCAGCTCGCTCCTCAGGGGACAGGTTCCCCCGCTGGGCACCCCACACTGGGCATGGGGCGCACGTAATCTATACTCTCATCTGTCAAAAGGAGGTCACCTCTGCCCCACCCACCTCACCAGAGCCCTGAGAACCTCAGGTCAGGTGTGGAGGGGTGTCCTTGTGCATCCTGCAAGGGGGGTGTGAACGGCATCTGGATCCCAGGCCCAGGAGCCACACGGGCTGTGCGCAGACCATAGACCCTAAACCCAAGCTGACCCCACCTGGGAGAAGGTGGCCAGGTCATCTGTGGTCTGGCCCGTGGTCCTGTCAGTTGAAGCATCCTCTGCTGAACTTGATACTAGCTAGCCAGGTGGGCTGGGGGTGCTGGGGATGGTCCCGAGGGCCCTTCCTCCTCCTGTGGGCCTCCTGAAGTTTCCCACTTTGGAGATTGATCCGGTTGCAAGTTGGGAGCAAGAGACAAGCTCTTCCTGGCACCCTGAGGCCACCCACCCAGATGGCATAAAGCTCAGGGCCCCAAAAATATTGGAGCAGCAGTAAGCTGGGCTCAGTGGCACATGCCTGTAATCCCAGTGGCTTGGGAGGCTGAGACAGGAGGATGGCAAATTCAAAGCCAGCCTCAGCAATGGTAAGGCGCTAAGCAACTCAGTGAGACCCTGTCTCTAAATAAAATGCAAACTAGGGCTGGGGATGTGGCTCAATGATTGAGTGCCTCTGAGTCCCATCTCTGGACCCATCCCCCCTAAAAGACTAGAGCATAAGGTAGGACCTCCCAGACCCCCAGGTCAGGGGCTAGAGGGACTTCGGGACCTGGGAGGGTGTCCTGCTGTGGTTGCAGCCAAACCTAGAAGCCCTCCCTCCTGAGGTCCCGCCAGTCCCGAGCGTGGTGGAGTGGGAACACGGGACCTCTGTGGTCAGACAGGGCTGGGCTCCCTCCCTGGCACTGCCCTTCCCTGAGCTGCCAACCCCCTTCTTGGCACCTTGGCAACCCTTCCTCTCGGGCCATGCCAGTTGAGCTTGGCACACCCGGGAGCCCGCCTCACAGGGACTGCCCACAGCCCAGGACGTCTTTGTCAACCCCTCTGTCCACACAACAGCTGTGTGGCCTCCTCGATGCAGGGGACCCCCAGAGCGAGACCCCGGGACCTCTTCAAGGAACGCAGGGCTTTCCCGACCCTGAATTTGACAAGACACCTTTAAGGTCACCCTGAGACCCCTTGTGTTCCTCCGTGGAGTGCAGAACATGGCTCAGGCTAGGTGCCAACCCCAGCCTCCTCGGTACCAAGGTTTCTCCAGAGCCCCAGGGTCTGCAGCACTGGCCCAGCCAGCCGCCCTGTGCCCTGAAGCCCTTCTGGCTCAGTGGCAGAAGGCAGGACGTTCAGTGTGTCTTGGGGCTCAGAGTGTGGGACGCAGGACCCCAGAACACCAGCAGGCGCAGGAGCCACTCCCCTTGGGGATCCCGCGAGACACTCGTGGTTGGAGGAACGGCTGAAGGGTGGCATCTGTGGGGACAGGGCCCACCTGGTCATGCACACACCACCTTGAACAGGTCAGGCACAGGGGGACGTGGCTGACAGGCCAGCCTCCAGGACCCCAGGACCCTCGGGGGGAAACACCCAGAACCATCCCAAGCCCACCCAGCCGTGGTTCTCGGGCCCACTCCACCCCCCCTGACCGCTGACCTGTGTGTTTCCTCTCCACAGGGCCTGGCGGGTCCCCGAGGACAGCCGGTGGGTACCTCCTCTTCCCAGTTTCCGGCAGAGAGGTTTGGGGCCCCTTTATCCTGGACTTTGACCCCCTAACTCTCTCATTTCTGTCTCTTTGCAGGGACCCCCAGGACAGAAAGGAGAAAAGGTGGGCACAGGGTCAGGTGTGGGGGTGGCTCCTAGGACGTCCTTCCCACGCGGCTTCCTGACAGCTGGGGAGGGGTCGCCGTGGTCATTTTCAAACTTGAGTTAGATGGACAGGGACCAGGAGAGCCCTGGGGCCCCAGAGCACGTGAGGACAGGAAGGGAGGTGGGTGGTGGCATTCCCTTCTTGGGCCGAGGGCGCCTGCTCTGACCCTGGCCCTTTTCAGCTCCTTTCTCTGCCCCTCCCGCCTGCCACACCACGGTGTGCCCTGACCCTTGAGCCTTCAGGGCTACGAGGTACCGACCCTTGAGCCTTCAGGGTTACGAGGTACCGATTTGTACACCATTGGTACTCTCGACCCAGAGAAGGTGTCCTCTGCCTTAGGGCCTGCCATCAGGACTGGCGGGTGGTCACTCCCAACTCTGCAGGAGGTGTGCTGCTGCATAATCCCACCCCGTGCTCCCTGGGGCGATTTTCCAACAGCTCTGAGGGGTTTGTCCCTGATGGCAGCCAGGGACAAGGTCTCAGAGGGCTCAGACCAGGGCCTGGACAACAGGTCTCGTGGGTAGAGAGAAGCTTGGTGTGTCCATTGGTCTTGGGGGCCCTGAGGATCAGGCCCCCCAACAAGGACCTAATCACCCCTTTCCTTCCCTCTCCTCTCCAGGGTCAGTGTGGCGAGTACCCACACCGGGTAAGTGAGCCCCCAACTGGGTAGGGCCCTTTGATCCCTCCCTGAGGCACAGTCCCACTAACCTCCTCTCTCCAGAGTCCGAGGCACCCCAGGGCCTGGGGGACAGGAGGCCACAGCCCACGTCACTCAGCAGGAGAAGAGAGGCATGGGGTGGTGGTGTGCTGAGTCAGCCCAGCTGACCGTCCAGGGGACGGGGATCATTGTGTGTGTTTGCGTGGGACTGACTCCAAGTGTCTTGGTCCATCTGTCCTTCTGTCTGCTGACTGGGTGGAGTCTCCCGAACGTTCTGGAACTCCAGCTGCCTGCCCCTCACCCTCGCATGGTCTGTCAAACCCCGCCCACGTCGAGAGCAAGTGTGTGCCCGCGAGAGTGTCCATGTGTGACAGCCTTCCCTGGACAAATATGTGGGGCTTTGGGTTGGTCATTGCTTCATGTGACCCAAACCCGGAGGAGCAGAGATCATGGGGAACTTACCCGTTCAGGGATCGAGTCTCTGCTTGGCCTATGGGGGACAGAGGGAGCCCTCTTCTGGAGCATGGGGGTTTCCAGGCTGAGATGGCTCCTCCCCCACCACTACCTGGGGCTGCTCCATCCCAAAATACAGGACCCAAAAGGCCACTGTGGGCCCACAGGAAGTCCTCATTGTGCACCAACAACAGGCACCGTGCTGGGGACAGGAGAGGACAGGCTGTGCTGGGCTCCCTCCAGCAGGGCCCAGAGGGCCAGCAGCAGAGCCTGTGCACGGGCAGCAAGTACAGAGAGGATGAGCCTGAGTGGGTGGCCACCTCCTCTGTCGTGGGCTCATGGTGCCCACAGACGAACATGTGGCTCCCCTTGGTACCCACCACTTCCAGGCAGTGCTGGGGTGGGGGACTTGGGGATGGAGATAGGCACAGACCAGGCTCAGGGTGGCCCCAACTCTGGAAGGCCCTGGGAGGGCCCGGCTGGCAGGGGCTCCCTCTGCCCAGCCACTTGGTTGGCAGGAAGGCGTGCATGCCTGTCTCTGACCTCTGTGTCCCTGGGCCAGAGAGAGGCCACAGTGGGCCTGGACTGTGAGAGGCAGGGTTAGGTCTGAGGCCGTGGCTGGGCGGGGCCTGGGCTGGGGGACCCGAGAGGGCAGCAGTGCAGACAGAGCTGTGTGGCGTGGGCTCCCGGGGCGCAGGGCCTGGTGTTCCCGCCTGATACACAATAACAGAAGGGCAGCTGGGTTGATTTGAAATGATGGACTCACGGGATTGTTATGTTACCCGAGAGAAAGACAGCATGCCCCGGCCCAGGGACAGCTCGCCGGAGACACTCAGGCAGTGTGTCATTAGCCCTGAAGGAACGCTTGGGGAAGGAGAGGACGGACCCTCTGCCCCTCAGCCCAACACAAGGAGAGGGAAGAGAGCAGTGATGGAAGGTTCCAGAAGTGCCCTGGCCACAGAGAGCAGCCAAGCATAGCCTTAGTGCTGAGGCAGTCTGGGGAGGGAAGTGATTTGGGCACCCTGTTGATGGACAGAGCACGTTGACTTAGAAGAGGGTGGGATGCAGGGCTTCTGACAGCCCGCTGACTTCCATGTGGGCCTCGGGCATGGCGGGGTGGCCGGCCTCATGGAGAGCCAGGCTGGGTTGCTGGAGTCAGGGTTCTCCCTCTCCCTCTGCCCATCACCCTGTCTCTGCCGCCTTCGTCCCCCAACCAGGAGAACCCGAGCAGCCCCCCAGCGGCTCTGCGCTCCAACCAGATAATTACCCTGAAGGTTGGTAGTCCTGGAAGGTCTCTGGCCCCTCTCTGCTGAGAGGCTTCCTGGACACCAAGCCCAACATGGCACACCCCCAGCCCCCGTAGCAGGAGGGGTAGGGCCCTGTGAGTGGCAGCCGCCTGTGGTGGTGACCTGGAGGGACCCCTCCGTGGGGCTTCCAGTTCCTCAGCTGGGCACCTTATTGGCACAAATGCCTCCTGGTTCTTAAGGTTCCTTGCAGGAGCCTCCCCTTAAAGTGCTTTTGAAAACAAGTGGTTGATTCCGCACCATCTTGGCACATGGATTCTAACTGCTTCCTAAAGCCATGGGTCACTCGGCATTCAATGCACAGAGGGACAGGAAGCAGCAAAAATTTTCAGAAATAAAAATCACATTAAGGAACCAGACCTGGTGGCACACACCCGAATTCCTAGCTACTTGGGAGGCTAAAGCAGGAGGTCACAAACTCGAGGCCAGCCTTGGCAACTTAGACCTTGTCTCAAAATAAAATAAAATTAAAAGGGTGGGTGAAAGGGCTGGTGCTGTCGCTCTGTGGCAGGGCTCTTGCCTAGCAGGAGTCAGGCCTGGTTTTTCAGTCCCCAGTTAAAAAAAAAAAAAATGCAAATTGCCTATTCCCCCCTAAAAAGTGGTTGACCACTCCAGAGACCTCTTTACCCAGCCTGTTTTCCAAACCTGCCAGCCCCAGCGGGAGACCTCAGCAGCACTTAGCGTGTGCCCACGCGCACCACACCCTGGGCCGGCGCAGCCCAGGACCCCGCTTGACATCCTCCTCAGAGTAGCTGACCTCAGCCTTTCTCGTCCTACCAAAAAAGATCCCAAAGGAGGCCGCGCACCAGCTTGACTTCAAGTACCAATTTAGCTGGTCTGTGGCTTCTAAGCCAGAGCCTCCGAGTCTGCAGTGGTCAGCGTCTGTCCACTGAGCAGGGACGGGCAGGGCTGGCCGTGCCATGTTGGGCCATGTGTCAGGTGGCCGCTGCATGGCCAAGGAGAGCCACTCCCCCATGCTCGGGGCTACTGGCCAGAGCCCCAAGCTCCACCCTGGAGGCCAAGGTAGGGTGCAGACCAAGGGCCACTCCTCCTTTGAGGGACAGCTGTGCCATCTAAGGGCCAGCTGAGAGTGCCCGTCCATGTCTGCCCTCCAGTCCCCAGGCTCACGCTAACCTCTCTTCTCTCTTCCTCTCCTACGACCCTCTTGGCCACTCTCCCCTCCTGGTGACTTTCGGCATCGTTCTGAATACCTGCCCTCTGGCCTTCACCTCATCTCTCTCCTCAGCTGCTGCCTCTCCTCAATTCCGTGCGCCTGGCTCCACCCCCCGTCATAAAAAGGCGGACCTTCCAGGTAGACACCTTCTGCTTGCCAACCTGCACGAGGGACTCAGCCACTCTCTGGGCCCCACAGGCAGGCTGGGGCTGTGGACCAAGCCAGAACCTGGCTCTAAGATGGTTAAACTTAATCAGACAGACATGGACCCTGATACCATAGACATGAGCACGCGCACGCCCAGGCCCTAGAGAACCGCGATTTCCACCAGACCGTCACCACTCGGCCACCAGCCAGGCTGTCACTGCAGCCAGGGACTGTGCTATCCATTGTCCGGGCCTGATTTTATGTAATTCTCTCAACAGTTTTAGGAATTAGGCATGATCATCCTTATTTCACAGATGAGGACACCAAGGCTCAGAGAGGTGAAGTAGGTGAAGCCAAGTCACACAGAGCAGGGACCCGCCCAGGTTCTCTGCCCGTGAATAGCTGTATGATTTTAAGCAAGTGCCTTCTGGGCCCTCTCTGGGCCTCAGCTTCTCATCTGTAGAATAAGAATAATAACAGTGTCTACTTCACAGGGCTCTTGTTGTACATGAGGAAAGGTGGAAATAGTTCCTGGCACATAGTTCCTGGAAATAGTTCCTAGCTGTTGTTGTTACTGTTACTCATATTTGGAAACAAGGAAATTGAAGCTCAGAGAGTTGATTGACCCAAAGATACACGCACAGTGAGAGGGAGAATTGGAACCGGCAGCCAGGTCTTTGAACCCACATCCAGGGCTCTCAGTCAGACCTACATCCTTTATACTTAGAAATGCTGATTGCTCAGCATCTGGTCACCTGTAACCTGAGTATGAGGAGTGAGGGCTTTGGCAGAGGGAATACAGCCCACAACCACTGGGTGTGATCATTGTGAGCAGCTACTTCCTTCTTCCTGCCTTGCTAACCTAGGAGCTTGGGATGGGGAAAAAAGCAATTTCTCCCCTGCTCTCCAAAAGGTCACAGCTTAATTCCAGGTCAGGGAGCCCAGGGCTGCTCACCTTGCCCCTCACTGTCCTTACACTGCACAGGGAGTGCCCCAAGTCCTGGGCGTGGCAGGACTCTGAGCAGCCCTCTGGAAGCTCGGATGCCCAGGCCCCTGACCGGCCCAGGCTGAACAATCACTCCCACAAACAGCTAAAAATACAGAGGGACGCACCACGCACACCCTACCCAAGGCCCAAGGCTGTGTATCACGTTACCCGGCCAAATCCTCCAGAGCCTCCACGCGCTCCAGCGCTTACCCAGCCGGGCAGCTCAGAGGCGGCTGGCGGCCCAGAGCAGCCCCAGGCCCGCCCCACCGCCCCCAGCCCTGCCGTGCCAGACCCCACTGCAGGGCAGCCCCTCCTCCGGGCCCCACACACGGCCCCTCATGGCCTGGGCGGGGTGGGCTGCTCTTTGTGGCGCCCTTGCTGGGGTCAGGCGTTGGCGGGAGCACTCTGTGCAGATCATCTCAGTCACCCCAGCTCAGCCACCAGGCGGGGGCAGGTACCATGCTCATCTCCCCCACTCGGCTGAGGAAGACGCCGAGGGCCCAGGATTCCATCCCGGCCACCACAGGTTGCTTTTCCAGAGCAAGGGGTGGCTGAGCCAGAACCTTCTATGTGCCCTGACCTGGTTCCCAAAGCAGGAGAGAAGAGGGGCCCCTCTGCTTCCTGCTCTGGACTCTGCCAGGGGAATGAGGTTTCTATGCGGCTGGCCATCCTGGGCTATGAAAAGCTGGTCCATTTCCTATCGATAAACCAATATCGATTCTACAGGCTCTGCAAGTCGGCCCGAGATGAGTTGAGAGAGGAAATTTTACATAAGCTCTGATGTGCTTAGCAGATGGTGCTGGAGGCCATTTCCAAAGTGCAGAGAATTGGAAGGAGAGCCCATCTTGACAGGGCTTGTTTCAGTGGAAAGGAGAGAGCCTGGGCTTCGGATCTGGGGTCCTGGCTTCACCTAGAATTCTCCACGTGACCTCAGTGAGGGGGCTCAACTTCTCTGAGCCTCGGTTTTTCTCTTCTGTGAAGTGGAATTGGCAATGGAAGATTCTAGAATTTCACAGTCAGAAAGGACCTCTGGGACTTGATTCAGATCGAGCCTTCCCTGCCCAGTGAATTATCCTTCAAAAATGTAGGAACATTCTGGAGAATCTAAGGCAGAGGAGGGGTGTGGAGGATCCTGAGGGTGACTGAGGACTCCAGGGCCTTCGTCGGGTTTCATCTGGTTGGAAAGGAAGCTACAGTGGTCCCTCTGGAAGGCCAAATGTAGTGAAGCCTCTCTGGGTTCAGGAGAGACACGGTCCCCTAGGACCCATCAGCAACCCACATGAAGCTGGGCAGGGCCAGGGCGATCCCTGAAGTGATTTCCACACGCAGCAGCTTCCACCTCCACCATGGACACCCGGAGCCCTTACAGTGGCTTCTCGGGGTTTGGCAGGATGGGGCCAGGCCCCGGAGCCTGGCTGCTGGCTGCATCCTCTGCCCTAGGACCTTCTAACTGTCAGCCTGTGCAGCCATTGTGGCCAAATCTCCCACCTCCAGCTCCCAGGTCACCAGCTCCTGTCTAGAGTCACTGTGTCCCTCGTGGAGTCCACAGCAGGACTCTTTGGCTCCCCTCTTCCCACTGAAAAGCAGGAGAGCCAGGGGGTCCTCTGGGGTCACACTGAGCAGGGAGGGTGGCCTGGAACTCCAGCCTCCTGTGCCCCCCTGTGTCCAGGAGCTGTCCCACCACCAGTCATTCTGTCTAGAGGGACGGTTCCTCCCTGAAACAGCTGAGCCCCAATCCTCCCTGCAGAGGTCTTTTATAAAACGATGTCATGGCCCAGGACAAGGTCTAGGATGGCTGGCTTGCCCCCAACCCCAGATCTGAGTCACATGGACCAGGCTCTGGCCTGCTGATGAGGGAATGCAATGTCACCCTGGCCTTCCTGGGCTCTCAGCACATCCTAGGGACAGGCCTGGAGGGCTCAGTGCAGTTGGGTCAGAAATGGGGCGGGTCGAGAGACTAGAACTCACAATGCCATATGGGTGTGACGTCCTGGACAGCTTCAAAGGCTTTTCAACCAAGCCAAGGGCTGCAAACCTCTGAGGTCAGGCAGATCTGGTGGTGACAGAAGCAAGCCACAGGCAAGAAAGGGTAGGGAGGGCAGGGACCACCCGACCAGAACACTCCTGTCCCACCTGAATGAGGTGGCTGTTCCAGGATGCAGGGATGTGGGTCCAGGGTTGCCAGGGCTCCCGGATTCTTTTGTATCAGATGCCACCAATCCAAATTGGTCACATAAAGTCTCCTGTTGAATTAAACAAGAAGCCAAACAGAATCCCAAGGCCTCCGACCTAAGGGCCTCATTGACCATCTGGAGCTGACCTTCAACAAGGGCTAAGACCTGAGGCAGGAGAGAGGCTGGGCTCAGCGAGAGAGGGTGGCAGAGGGAGGCCTGGATGGCAGACCACCTGGGCTGGACTCTGGACATCCAGCCAGCCTAGGAGCCGGTCGGGGCTGTGTCACTGTCTACCGCTACCCCACACAGGGCTCTGCCTGAGGACCCGCTGCTCTGTGCAGCCAAGTTCTCTCTGAAGCCCCACCGCTTGGGGACCTCATGTCTTCACCCTCTTCTCGCTGCCATCAGCCCCTGCATGCAGTCACCAGCACCACAGCGTCATCACCATCACGCCACCGTCTCCCCCACTGTCACCTTCCCAACAGAGCCCACGTGGGGCCTCACCGGGTGCATGGTCCTGGGGTGGGAACCGGTCCTTCTCTCCAGGGATCCTCTCTCTAACTTTCATCTCAATAAACCTCAGGGCGAACAGGGCCAGGCTGGCATCCAAGGCCCACCCGGGCCACCAGGCCCCCCTGGACCAAGTGGACCTCTGGGACACCCAGGACTGCCAGGGCCCATGGGGCCACCTGTAAGTATCCTTCCCCTGTCTCCTTCAACATTCAGCCCAAGAACTCTCTGGAAACCTCCGAACCTTGAATAGCCAAAGCGAACCTGAGTTCCCTCTGTAAAACCGAAGCACCCTGGCAAGGCTGCTGGACGTGGGTGGCCGTGTGAGGAGCTGCCCTTCAGTGGCACTCCCCTGTTGCCCTCCAGCTCTGCAAACACACCTGCTGGGTTCATGTCCATGTGTCGCCTTCCTGTAGGGAGACCACTAATCGGCTTCCCCTTTCCCAGCCTCAGCAGAGAGCAACTTGGAGAGAAAATCTCCCAGGGCCACTTTTGATGGCTGTCCCAGACCCCTGGGCTCAGGAAAACCAAGTCAGAGGCAGTGGTTCTGAAAGGCTCCGGGGGCGGGGGGGGCATGAACACGCTTTCCACGGTGTGTGTTTCCCACTCTGGGCCCCCTGCCAGCCACTTAGAGGGACCAGCCTGAGAATTGGCAGGGCCTCCACTAGGAGGGGTCCAGGGGGCAACAGAGACCCCTTTCCAAGTGACGGTCAAACCCAGTGGCCACCAACTTGCCCACGTTCAAGCCATGGCCAAGATCCTCCTCCTCCTCAGCCCATTAGCACAACAGAGCCGCTGGGCAGGACAACTGGGCATGTGTCTGGACTTCTTCAGAGAAGAAGGGAGAGGACCGAGTCTATATTTTCAGAGGGACGGGGCTAAGGCAAAATAAGCTTCCCTTTTAATAATGTTTTTCCTGTGGGTTGAAAAAAAAAAAGTTTTCTCTCTTATGACAAAGTTATCATGCATTCATTGTGAAAAAAATAGCAACATAATGAGGGATTGTTTTAAATGGCCTCTTTCCCCACATTAGAGTTCACCCTGTTAACATTTTGGGGAGTCCTTCCTTACCAGCCATAAACAGGGTCCCGGTTGGTAATGTTCTAAATCCCTGAACAGTTGGCATGTGAAGTTTTTCACTTCATGTCATGAAGCTGGGCTGTATCAGAAAAGAGTCCCTCATGATATCGATTTCGGGGCTGCTGGGCTATTTATAACTTAGCGAATGAGTCCCCTTGTGCAATCTATATCCTGGAACAAATGTTTGTGCACATCTCTGAGGGTGTCTCTGAGGTAGATCTAAGAGGTGGAACCACGGGTCCGGTGTCCCAGACAAATGGCTTCCACTGTGTCTGGCCACATTGAGATCAGCCAGGTTTGAGTCTGAGCCCCTCTGCTCCCTCCTGGGCTGATCCTGAAGCTCAGTGTTGGGTCCCTCTGGGCTGGGGGACACTCTGTTTCGAAGGCCATTACCACAGTGTGAAAGTCAGGGTTACTAGAAGCTGGCTCCCCTGCTCTGCTCGGCCCCAGCTCAGATTTTAAATCTTTCTGTAACTTCTCCCCATGACCCCAGAGAGGGAGGTTAGTCTAACGTCCACCAGTCTTTACATGGGAAAATGGAAAACCGGGAAGGAAGTGCATTTAGAAGATTAAACCAAACCAAGAAAGAAAACCAAAGTGCTCAAAATCCCCCTCTCTGCTGACCACCGCTCTCCCGCTCAACACAGGAGCTCCCCTCCGAGGAACCAAGCCAGGTGGTTTTCTTTGTTAGGTTGTTTATAAAGAACAAACCAGAAAGCAAGTTTTTAAAACCAACTGAAACAGGCCAGACCTAGGCATCGTGGTTTCCTGCAGCCCACGCTTGCTGCCCAGACCTACGCCCGAGACCGAGATGGAGCCAGCCTCCCCTGGCCTCTCCCTTTGGCTTCCAAAGGCCCCTGGTCCCACCCCACCTGACCACAGACAGCTGCTGTGGTCACAGCACCCTGGGCAGAGGGAGACAGCGGGCTCCTCTGAAGGTGGGCAGGGCCAGGGCAAAACTGAGGCCCTGCTGGGTAAGGTTGGTTTTCCAGGGAGGGATCCCAATTAGGAGGCGGGTGGGTGAGGACCTAGACCACACCACACGGTCAATTTAGCATGAGGTCACTGACCTAGTTTCCAGGGGCTGAGCCCAGCAGAGTTGCCCACGGCGCCCATGTGGTTCCAAAAAGGGACACAAGCCTGCTGTCCCCAAGTGCCCTCCACAGGTTCCAGATGTTCTTCTGGGTGCTCTAGAACGGTTCTCTGCATACCTGTTCTCTCGTGATGGCTGTCAGGAGCCGCTCTGGCGCAGCCTGCACCATAAACCCACCTCACTTCGCTTACCTGTGGAAACCACCCCCACTCACCTATTTCTTGCTTCCACAGGGCTTACCTGGGCCTCCTGGACCAAAGGTGAGAGTCCTCCTGGGTGGCGCATCAAACAGGTGGGAGGGTTCCCTGCGGGAGGGGGCTGAGGAAGGAGCTGAGAGACCAGCCAGCTTGGCTCATTTCCAAAGCCCCACCGTCCCTGTAGGAGCTGCTCCGGTTCCTGCCCGTCTTGCCCCTCTGCAGGTTCAGGCCTGAGCTGCAGCCGCCATAGAAAGTTTATGTTCTAAGAGACTCAAGGCAGATTCCCGCGACACCATCACAATATCCCAATAAAATAGTGTCCGCAAGGTTTCAGAGCTGGAAGCCACCTTGGAGTCATCTGGTCTCTTATTAAACCTTGCACAGAAGCGCACAATGTCAAAGAGACCCTCCCTTTGAAGCTGAGGACTCTGAGGCTCTGGGGACAAGGACACTGATTTCACCCTTCCATTTTATGAATGTGGGAGCTGAGCACCCTGGGAAAAGTGGCTCGTCCACCTTCCACAGAGTCGTTGGTGGAGCCAGAACTGACCATCAGGGGTCCTGAGTCCCTGACAAGCTGGCCCTTCCCAGAGTGCCTCAGCCAAAGGGGGCTGTGTTGAAGAGCAGAAGAGTCTCCAAGGACTCTTGTCCCAGGGGCGGCTGGAGGTGGCTGTGTGTGTTTCCCACTCTGGGCCCCCTGCCAGCTACTAGGGGCCCCTAGAGATTTGGAGTTGTTGGGAGGAAGGGAAGTGGTATTGTGGGGGAGCAGTGCTGGCCGTTTTGGCATTGGGAAAGTCACCTGATGGCCGTCTCTTTCTTCCCAGGGAGACCCGGGGATCCAGGGCTACCATGGCCGGAAGGTAAGAAGGAGGGGAGAACCCTAGCCCTGGGCAGCCATGAGGGGCCCCACAGAGCCCACAGAGCTGGGCTCGGTTATGCACAAGTACATTGGATATGTACCACCCCGTGTGAGCTTCGCGTCACTTGTGAGGTTGCCTGAGCAGGGTTCAGTGTTTCCACTGGGGAAAGGACAGGGGCAGAGGCAGGAGGGCTCTGGGCCAGGCATACCTCAGGCCCAGGAGAATCCCTTGTGCCCACCTGAGCAGCCATGTCTGGACTGGCCCCATGGGGGTCTGATCAGTAGAAGGAAGATTACAGGACCCTCCCTGGGTAGAGCTCCATGCTGAGCTTGGGGACCATGGATGGGGACCACCCTGCTTTCTGGCAGCTACCAGATTAGGAGACAGAAGCATTCCTGTACCAACAGCCCTGGTGTAACAATATGGTACCTCACAAGGTGCTTGTGCATACAGGGGTGGGGGGGATGCAGGTAAGGAGGGGTTCCAGAAGTGCCCTGGGAGAAGACAACCAAGAACTCAACTCTGATGAGTGGGGACCTGTGTCACTCAGCTATTGCCACGTAACAATCCATTCCACATGTCTGACTTAAAACAAATATTTATTCCACATGATCTATGCATTGGTGACCTGGGAGTTCGGCTGGTCTCACCTGGGCTTGCTCATGGGGTTGCTTATCAGATGATAGCTGGAGGGCCAAGACGGCCTCATCCTTGTGTCTGATGGTTGATGCTGGCTGGGGGCCTCGGCTCTCTTCCCTGTGGCCTTTGTCCTCCAGTTACACGGGCTTCCTTACACCAGGGCAGGCCCCGGACAGCATTCAAAATGAGCAGCTCTTGGGACACAGGCACTTTCCCAAAACCTGCTGACGTCACATTTTTTAATGCCCTAAAAGTCAAAGCAAGTTACATGACTAAGTCACGTGCCTCAGCATAGGAAGGACCTTGGTCTCCACTGCTTGATCAGATGTGTAGCAGAGCATCTGTGGTCATTTTCAGTCCACTCCTGCCATCCTTTCAGCCTGCCAGTTTGAAGGGAGAGGTTATTTTAGACAGGAAACAATTCGAGCACAGGCCCAAGAGCAGTCGTGACGGTGACTGTAAGAGCATAGTCACTACTTACTGAGCCCCTGCTACACTCCCCACACCATCCTTCCACCTGGTCTGTTTCTAATCCTATCAGCCTGGCGTGGCCCTGCTTCTGTTTAGTAGGTGGGGAAACTGAGGCTCGCGTCATGGCTTGGAAGAAGCAGAGCAAGGATTCAAGTCCAGATTGGGGTTCTTCCAGTCTCACCTGCTGCTAGGAGCTCATCCCTGCCCTCCTGCCCCCGGATGGGAAGCTTCCAAAGCCTTCCAGGAGGAAAAAAGAGGCAGGATGGAGAGGCACCAGGAGGAGGAAGGCATGTTGGAAGGGGAGGACCCATTCAACCATGAAACACACTCCTCACTCCTGCAATCAATAGGGCGGCTGCCATCGCCACGTTGTTTTATGGGTGCTCGGCGGGTGAAATGCTGAGGCCTGAGAGATCTTTAATTAGTTCTGCATAAACTGAGAAACTTGTAGTATGTCAGGAAGTGGAAATTATAGCTCCCACAGTTGCCTCTATCCACTCATGCAGACTCACAAAATTTACTGCCTCCTGGTGCAGCTCAGGGTTGGTTTTCCCATTAGAAGCCAGATCAGCTCTCTCAAGCTGTGAAGGGGCTGAGGGCATGGAAGAGGGTCCCCAGGGGTCATGGCGATTCCCTTAGCTGGCATCATACCATGTTGGGTGCCTGCATCTGCTACAAACCAGAATTCTGGTTCCTCCAAAAAGGAGGCATACCTCAGGCCCAGGAGAATCCCTTGTGCTCACCTGGGCAGCCATGTCTGGACTGGCCCCATGGGGGTCTGATAAGTAGAAGAAAGATTACAGGACCCTACCTGGGTAGAGCTCCATGCTGAGCTTGGGGACCATGGATGGGGACCACCCTGCTTTCTGTTGTTCTTGTCTGTTGTTCTGGGGATGCAGAGGCCCCAGCTGAGGCTAGGTGTCCTGACACTAGAGCACCTGGGCCCGGGAGTATGGCCATCCTAAGTGCAGACTGTAGCAAGAATCCTTCAACTCTGGCTGCATTGAATTTGCAGAGAAAACAGGGTAGTTCAGGGCAGCTCCTGGCCCCAAGAAGCCAAGAGGCTAGCTCTGGGGATAGAAGGAGGCTCCTTCAAGCATCACTTGCTGAGGGTGGGGGCAGGTGACTAGGGAGGAGCAAATAGCTAGGGGCAACCCTCCGGGAAGAGCAATCCCAGCTCCACCAGAGGAGCCTCCCAACGCCAAGGTCCTTGGGACAGAGTGGGGGAGGGAAGGCAGGTGGGTAGGGGGCTCCCTTCCTGGGTTGTTCAAGTGGAAGGTGGGTAACGCTGGTCTGGGTTGTGTTCAGATGGGAGACTGGGTTGAAAGCCCTCCCAGTTCAGGGAAGCCATGGCTTGCTGGGGACAGATTGGCTGCACATTGCCAGAAGGAGCAGCTCCTAGCTTTGTGGGGAGACTTGGGCTCCTTCTGCCTGTGTCCAAGTCTTTTAAACCCACATGCAGAGCTGTCAGAAGCATCAGCACTCTCAGGACTCACTGGAAAGAGGAGAAGGCCCTCCTCTCCGTGCTGGACTCTCGCCTCCCTCCCTTCTTTCTCTGCCAGACCACCCAGCTCTGCTCTTCCACCCCGGCTTCTTCTCTTGCAGTGTGGAGAGGCTGGGGACGTGGCCCCCTCCCTGCTTCTCTGGATCCCTGGAAGGCTCCTGCAGTCCTACAGGCTGGTGGCTCCCAGCCCAGGACAACAGCAGAGGGTCCCACTCCCAAGGATGTGGGGGCACTCCTCAGCCCCAAGGGGATTGGTAGGTGTCTTGACCCTAGTGATTGCCACGTCTACACGGAAATTTGCTTCCCCTCAGAATCCCGAGATGAAGAGTTTTTTTGTTTTGTTTCTCTCTCTCTTTTTGTTTTTTTTAATCATTGATGCCCAAAGACAAGTTTGCAATACTTCGCGTCTCTGGGTTAGCCAGAGGTCAATCATAGGCTGCCTCACTTGGTCCTGTTTCCCAGTGGTTAGAGCTCCTCCTCCCATTGTACAGATAAGATGTTCAGAGAGGTTAGCCCTTGGCCCAAGGTCATACAGCTAATGTACAGCATGCTGGGATGAGAAGCCACGCCTCTTGAATCCACGCCTGATGGCAGCCTTAGACCACCCTCCCCGTGGTTTCTCTGGGATGGGGAGGCTGATCACCTGAACTCCCTCCCTGAGCCCAGCAGCCCTCCCCTCCCTCACTTCTCCCTTGGAAGAGCTCAGGTAGGAGGCTGAAGGGGGCGTGGTCACACCTGCTTGAAAGCTGCATTTGCTCCCCCCCACCACCCCAGGGAGGAGCTGGAGCCCATGGGTGGGAATAGGGCTGAGACAGAGACCATGTGACTGTCCCTTGCTGTCAGGGCATGAGGGGACCCAAGGGGTCATGCACGGATCCACCACGGGAGTGTCCCTTGACACATGTGCAGGGAGGCCTCTTTCAACCCAGGGTAGAACCGAACTTCTCAGCCTGCTGAGGATCAGCCCCTTCCACTGCTACCTCAACTCTACTGCTGGACTGGGCCTGGCGTCCTCTCAAAGGGCAGCAAGGCCAGCTTCTCCACCAGCTTCTCAAGACCAAAGCCCAGCACAGTCTGTGCCCACTCAGGCCAGCCCTCCTGCCTAGACACTGCGAGCATCACTGAACACCCACGTGGTACCGACTCCATCCACATTTATGACATGGATCTACTTTAAATACGCGGCAAGACACAGAATGTGTTCAAAGCATTGCCACCTCAGCTCCCTTACAAGAGAGTCACTGGCAGACTATGTGGGTCACAGAACCTGATGGGAGCTCATCTGTATCAGAGCTGGTACTCATCCCAAGTGGGGTTGCGGCTGCCGCCTCTGCCCTGGGGTGTTAAGCTTCGGGGTTCGCATGGAGAACCAGGCTGTGGCTCACAGTGCCTCCTGCAGGCTGCTCCAGACCAGAGGCGCCCGGATGCCAGGGCCACTTGCTCCAGGAGGCCTTAGAGACAGTCCTCGGGGCAGGGGCGCCCAGGGAGGAGAGCCCAGGAGCAGCCCCACCTTACTCTCCTGCTGAATGGTGCGATGATTCTGATCCGCCCGTCAGAACGAGGGCCAGGACGGCACTCTAGAACTATGGGCAGCGGTGTTATGACTGCCTTTCTGAGTCTCCCCCACAAGCGAGCTGTCCCCCTGTGACAGCCCCGTGAGACGGGTCTCACTCCTACCCCGGCTTACGGAAGAGCACTGCGAGGTTCACAGAGGCTCTCCCCCGGCCCACAGACAAAAAGTGGCCGAGCCGGGGCTGCTGATCCCGGAGCCTTACTCTGAGTGACTTTACTCCCTGTGTTGCTTGGGCCTCAGGGACCCCAGGATATCCAGTAAGCCTCCCCCTCAGTCCTTCCATGGGAGAAAGCAGAGGTGGACGCTGTTCTCATAAGAAGGCCATGACTGGATTGAGGCCACCTGGCGCCTCCAGCCCTACCTGAGGACCTGTGGCAGAATCACAGAGGACTTGTTGCCCTGTTCAGTCAAAGACTAAGGAAATGGAGTGCTTTTCCCACTAGCACCCCCTCCAGTGATTCCCCAGGCGGTTGGGACTGTCCCTGACATCCAGTGCCACCATGCAGCTTCTCTCCACCCTCTGCAACAGCTCCTCCTGAAGGTTCCTGCACCCCTGCTGCTCCCCAAGGGCCAGGGTGACCCCAGGCCTCCAGGGGCGTTCACATGCTGCAGAGGGCTCCGGACAGATGGGAATCTGTGGGGTAGGGACAGCATTTTCTTTAAAGCCATGAAATCCCAGTGGGGATGTCCAGACCATTTAAATTAAAGCAGATCAGAAAACTGAGACACCAGCCCCAGATCTGAGGCCCCCCGGGGGCTGCAGGGACGCCAGCCCCCACCCTGTGCTCTCTGAGCCCGGTTTCTTCTGTACTCCAAAGTCCACAGATTAATTAGAGCTGACTTTTCTTTTTGGAACTAACTACAAAATCAACCGATTTCAAATTGAGATTACAAGCCAGCCGCCCTTCCAAAGCCCTGGCCTTCAATGGGGCGACCGACCCCGGTAATTCCCTAGATCACTTCCTGCCGGCCCTAATTACCGGAGGACCTGGGATTTCCGTGGTTCCGGTCCTTATTGGTCTGGAGACTGGCTGGGGCAGGGAAGCAGGAATTGAGCTGTGTTTTTCCCGGAAGGGAGGCCTGGGAACTTTTTCTGGGGGGAGAAAGGCATGAGCACCCCACCCCCATCGTTTCCAGTCCAGCGAAGGGCCCTGGTCCAGGCCTGTGCCTGCTGCTGCCTACACCACCCCCCCCCCCCCCCCCCCCCCCCCCCCCCCGGGCCTCCCCCTCCCCTGCAGAGAACAAAGGCTCCATGTTCCTTGCCTTCAGCCCCGGCCCTCCCCACCCAGACCTCAGGTTACAGGGGTCCGTCATGTCCTGGAGTTTCCTGGCCTGACCTTTGTTTGGCTGGGAGCTGACCTTGAAGCCCCCTACCTCCCTCTAGACCATCTCAGTCGCCAAGTCCCTGCCCAGCCCCTTCAACAGACAGTAAATCACCAATTGAGAAGCCACTCCTACAGGACCAGAGTGCGGCCTGTGAACTCCAAAGTGCTTGCTCGCTCTGTCCTGTCTTGAGGGATGGGTCTTCCACCTGGAAGCTGTGCAGAACAGAGGACCTATTGATGCCACACTGCGCTCGGGTGCAGCCTCCCCACCCCCACCCGGAGCCTGAGTGGCCGCTCTGAAGTGGAGGCTGGGACAGGCCTCTAAGACCAGGCAGGGCAACCTCTCTCCCCCCCCCCGGGTCCTCCCTGGGGGGCCTCCTCAGCTTCAGCAACTGCGGCCCACCTTTTCCAGGCTTGGTTCTTGGCATCAAGTTTAAAGAGCCAGCCTCCCAGAGGGTGGCCAGTCACAGCTTCTGCCCTCACGCGCCACACAAATGGACCAAGACCCTTTGTCACTCTTGGGACGCCCACTTCCCCAGCCACAGAATGACCTAGATGGCTGAGAGTCCCTGGGGAGCCGGTGAGGTCCCCACTGGGAAGACAAGGAAGGGAGGAGCAGAGACAAATCAGAGCCCAGCAGCCCCTGAAGACCCGCCCAGTCCTGAGCCAGTGGATGGAAACCGCGGCCAACTCCTGACCTAAAACGTCAAAAATAAGAAAGGAGCGCTCTGGATACATTTCACAAAGACCAGCCACAAGGAAGGCTCCGCGATCGGAAGTATGTCCCCATCCTACTTCAGCCAGGTGTCCTGCCAGTGTGCCCTTGCCCGGGTGACCCTAGACCCTGGAGGATAACCATGGCCCCCTCTCACCTCATGCACGGTCAGGAAGCAAGGTCTCCTGGTCTAGGAGAGACCAGCACCACCCCCAGCCCCGAGGTCAGGCAGGGCCAAGCCCACAGCCTGGGGCCCTGAGCCTGACTCTAATGAGCAAGGAGGGAGCTGCAGGCGTGGGTCACCCAGGAACCCCTGCTTCCTGCCCAGCAAAGCAGGGGTGGGGCCTAGAGGGGGATCAAGGGAGCTTGGGTCATTTGCAGAATTAACAGACTTGACCCAGAGGAGAGGGAAGGGCGAGGGTCAGCCACCCTGCCGAGGAGGCCACCTTCCCAGGAGGCTCCGGGGAGCCGGGAGCACATGGTGTGTCTTTCCGTTCAAACCCACGTGGGCTGAGGACAACGCCAGTGAGCCTGGAGACCTCTCACCCCGGTTTTGTTCTGCACAGTTTCTTCAGAGATGCGTGTGAAGCAGGCCTCACCTTTCCAACTGCCCTCCAGTTTTAGGGTGCTTCTCCCCGCAATAGCCGTTGGCAGGAGTAGGGACTGCAGAGCCCCCAGGACCCTTCCCAGAACTGCATCTGCATTCACAGCTAAGGCTCCCTCCCCAACCGGGCCTTTTTCCCAAGCTGCCAACCTAGTGAATGTCCCCACCTCTCCTAAGGGTGTACAGAGGAGCCAGGACAGGGCTGGGTGGCGGGAGAAGGCGGGAGCAGGCCTCTGGTCTAATCTAACTGTGCAAATGAGGAGTCTGGGGCACAGAGGGCAAGTGGCTTGCAAAGAGTCATACAGACGCCCCAAAGGGCCGCGGGAAGAGGGGGGCTGGAACCTGGGGGAAGCTGAGGGAAAGAGGAAGGGAGGAGAGGCCCCTGAACAGTCAGGGGCTCCTAAGCTGATTTCCCACCTGTACCCCACCAAGGGATTCTATCTGGGGACTCCAGGATGAGTCAGCCTGGTGGAGCCAGTTGGAGTGTTAGCAGGGGACCCTGGTCCTTCAAAAGAAAGGGTGACGGGGCCCTCCACTGACGCTCCTAAGAAGGGCCTCTGAGCACCATCCCAGCCAACTTCAGACGAGATCCTGTCCCGCCCCCTGCTGGCCACAGTGCAGAGCTACATGCCAGGCAGGCCCAGAGGCTCTCAGGGCTAAGCAGCCCTCACTGTAAGTGAGCTGAGCTGCCTCCAACCCTAGGGGTCACAAACCCAAGGAACCCAGCAGAGGGTGTTTGGTGCTTTGAGCTTGCTGCGATGATCTGGTGGAGGCAGATGGAGCATCGATGTGTCTGACATTGGGGCAGCCAAGGGAAACAAGTACCTGGGCTTCGACAGGCAACAGACGTTCAAAGTCCTACTCTTCACCAATCTGGCAATCACCCCAGCCTCTCTGAGCCACTGTTGCTTACCCAATAGACGGGAAGAGCATCGCTCCACGAGAGAAAGGACACTTGGAGACCCCGTAGCTGGAGAATGGAAAGTGAGGAGCCCAGAGCCGGACAGGGAGTATGCAAGAGGCAGCTGGGCCTCGCTCTGCTCTTTCCATAAAGTGACATTTAGCAGCTGGGGCAGACCTGGCTGCCCGCTGGCCTGCTGTGGCCCCCTCCTGAATCCGGCTCTGCACCCCCCTCCCATCTGTGGATGAGGGACATTGGTCAGGGTGAAGGAGGGCTCTGGCATTGGGAGGTAAGAATTCAGGCACTGAAGAGGATGAAGATGAAGCCATCCCAGGCACACGTGACTCTGGTGCAGATGGCAAATGCGAAGTGCTGATGTGAGGAGCCAACAAGGGCCATCGGGGGTCACAAAGGGCTTCATGGAGCCACGGTGTTGGGCCAGGGTTTTGAGTTGAGGAACAGCAGAAAGGCATATAGAGTCATGAGACTGGGTGGTGTTTCCAGCAGTGCAGATAAGAGCCGATGCACACCAGGGGACCAGGCCAGGAAGGAGGTGGCCTTTTTTCTACAGTCAGTACCGGGCAGTGGGTGTTGAAGCAGGGGAGTCTGGTGACCTAGCCTGTGTGTGGGAAGCTTGCCTGGACTCCAGAGTGGAGGAAGAGCGGGGAGTCACACTAGCTGTGGCCAGGAGAGGGGTGGACCAGCACGTCCCGTAAGATGGCAGAGTGGGCAGAGTGGACAGCTGGAAAGCTAGGGGGCTGGGGGCAGGTGGGACCAGATGACCCTCTGCCTTTAGAAGCCGGAGGGGCTTGCAGCCTGGCCCACGGACCACAGCACTCAGACCCATAGGACGGCTCCCAGGAGCAGGGTCTGTCAGGGCTCTGGGTGACCCGCGGCACAGGCTTCAGGTGGAGGAGACTGTCACCTATTGCTGGACAACATCCTGGCCCCGGCTGCAGCGTCCTGCTGTGGCATCATGTGGAGTTCAGCTCATGGAGACAGGGTGGCCCTCCCCCTCCTCTGACATGGCAGGTTATGTCTTGGCCCACGCACCTCCTCGTGGCGTGTCCCCTCTTCCTGGTCTTACCCCTCCCCCATAGATCTGGCATTTTCAGGGGGAGACAAAGAGGTTGAAGGTAAAGAGGGCCAGTGCTGAGGTGGCAGGGCACACCTATGATATCCCAGACAGGTGACAGTTCAGCAGGAGCCTCTGGTTGAGCAGGAACTGGAAAGGACACAGAGAGATAGATGGGCAGCACCCAGACCCAGACCCACTGGCCCTTGGAAGCATTAGACCCAGGTGATGTGAAGAGAGGCAAGGCCTCCCTGGCCCAGCTGACAGGTGCCATGCTGGGAAGCCTGCTGGGACAAAAATGGGGAGACCGAACTCCCAGACAGGGGCTGGAAAGCAGCCACTGGGCTGTACCACGCTCCAGGACCTGCCTGGTCACACGGTGGCAGTAGATCTTGAGCACGTCACCTCCCACTCAGATTCCACTGGGCAGGCCTCTGTGGGGGCCCTTCCTGCTCGATCTGTAACTTGGTCCTTCTGCAAGTTGACGTCACATGGCCGAGGGCAGTGGCCACATGGGTGCAGCCACAGCAGGGTCCTCAGAGCCTGCGCACCAAGCTTCCAGCCAGGCGGGTCTCGCTGACTTCCCTGCAAGCCACAGGCCCTGCGTCTGGTCCCCTTCTCATTGTTTTTCTTCTTTCTTCCTCCAGGGAGAACGGGGTATGCCAGGGATGCCGGGCAAGCACGGAGCCAAGGTACCTGACCCTCTCACACCTCAGGCCGCCCCCGAGGACCCTCCCCAGTGCCCAGCCCTCTCTCCCAAACTCTGGGGGATCCCCAGGGTCCAGGCTCCTTTGTGGGCCTCCTTCCTCTCGCACCCTGCTGGGTGCACACTTCCTCCCTGGACCTTCTCCCCTCCCGCACTTGCCTGTCCCCCAGGTAGGGGCAGGTGGGGCTCTGTTTTGGCCCACAGGTGATCTCTCACCAGTGCCCCCAGCCAGGTCTCTTCCTGGGACATCTGGTCACAAGGAGACTCTCAGGTGACTCAGCTCTGGCTGTGGTCCTGAGACCCAAGTAAGAAGCAGGGACCCTTCAAAAATCATCTCCCCCTGGGATTTACTAAGTAGCACTTTGGGTCACCTGTTCACCTATGGTCTGTCATCTTGCATTAATATAAAAGTGGGGTTCATTCTCAGCCCTCCCTAACCCATGAAGGCAACGGACCAGAGAGTTCTGGGGGAGCTTGACCCCACATCCACACTCAGGGTTAACAACCTGATAAAACCCGTCCCTTTGTTCTGTGTTATCTGCAATTCTTCCCTCCCCCAGGGGCCTCATTCTAGTCCCATCCCCTCCATCTTCTCCTTCTTTCATGTTCCAGTGAAGCCCCTCTTCCCTCTCAGGGACACCCCCTGGAGTCCTGTCTATCAACCCATGGTCCCTGCAGTGCCTCTGTGGAAGCCTGGCAGGCAGGGTGGCCCGAGCCTCATGACCAGTGTGCCCACTCCGTGCAGGGCACTCTGCAGGGGCGGGGGCGCTGGGCGCCGCAGAAGTGAGCCGTCCACTTCACCCCCTCCCCACCCCCCGGAAAAGGCTAGCATGTCCTCCGAGCTGCCCCGACCTAGGAACCTTTCATGCCTTTTTTTTCTTTCTGCCAGGGGGCTCCTGGGATCGCCGTGGCCGGGATGAAGGTCAGTAAACGCTGAAATTCCACCCAGGGCAGGTTGGGAGAACTGGCTTGGGAGGTCAGCTGCAGCAGCAGGGGCTCCGTGGCATAGTGGCTGGACTGAGGAGAGGGCAGACAGGATCAGGAAACATTTTCCTCAAAGCAACATTCATGCCAGATGCACCACCTTAAGACAGATGTTGATGTCTTGCAAAAAAGTAGTGAAGCTTTGCCAGCCCTCACAAGCCTGCCAGTGCACAAAGGGAAGCCAGTTCTTTGCCATGTGCTCTAAAATTCAGCAGCTCCATGTTTCTGAAGCTTCAGAGAGGATAGCAGGAGTCCTTCTCCTGAACCCCCACCCTAAGCACCCATTTGGTCAGCAAGAAGAGGCACCTTGGAAGACATTGCACAGGACTACCTAAAGGGGGCGCTGTGTCCAAACCAAATGTCATCCCTTCCTCTCCTTGGGTTCCCTGCTGAGGCTCACATGTGCCACCCCCTCACCTGGGGGAAGGGTAGGACCCTCTAGGGACCAGCAGCCCAGGAGGTCTCCCATAGCCTGGGGCTGCCTGCCTGAGCAGAGGAAAGTCTGGAGTGGCCCCATGTCCCACGGACACCCCCACATACCCACAGTGCCTTAGCCTTAGCTCTTCTACTGCTCTCTCTCTCTCTCTCCTTTCTTTACCTATTTCTGCCTTGTTTTTTCCACACAGGGTGAGCCAGGGACCCCAGGAGCCAAGGTACTGAAGCAGAGGGACCATTCTGGGCTGCATGGAGCATCGGTCGGTGGTGGGGTGGTGGGAGGAGCTGCTGTGGTTTGCTCTTGGCCCCCTGAGGACAGCCCAGGGCTCTTCCAAGCAGAGAAGGGTCCTCTTGTCAGGAGCACCCTGCCAATGCCCCCCTCTTCCCCAGATCCTGGTCTGTATGCATGCCACAGTTGTCTCTGCACTTACAGGGCTCTTTCTTTGTTGTCTAGGACAAGAAGAGATGTCACATGAGGTTTTTTTTTCCTCCATGGTTTGAGAAATGTGGGGTTAAAAGTATCACACTGATTTCTTTATTTCAGGCCCTCTCACTTCCTGTAAAATGCTAAATGAGCATTGGAAAGTCCAAAACGAAAAATATCTTATGCAGCACTTTCAAAACTTCTTTTGGACAAGAGTACCCCTTCATTTAAGAGGAGAACTTTAGGGGACCAGTCTCCTGGGAGCACTAGTCTTTGATCACTGCCAACCCCTCCCCTCCCCTCGCTTATCAGTATCTTATTCAAAGGGGACCCAGGAGCAGCAGGGGAACCTGGGGCCCCCAGGTTTACCCAGAAAGAGGGGGCAGTGGGTGATAGATGGTGTCTTGGAGCATGAGCCCCTCACCCTGGCCTCACGGGCCCCTGTTGTGTCCCTGTGGCTGATGTTGCCTGCAACGTGCTGCGGGTCATGTGTCCCAGGAAGAGGGGACTGGCAGGTGGCCTAGCAGAGCTGCAGAAACCCACACTGGAGAACACACAGCCCTCTTGGAAGCCCTCAGCTCCCCAGCAAAAGCCCAGCAGGCAGGAGAGCCTGTGTCCCCGTCCCTGCTCCTGGAGGATCTCCTAGGCTGGACCCACATCCTTCCCCTTTAGACATGGCCCATTCTGGTCAAGGCACAATGGAGACCAGCCCAGCAGGACAGGACTCACCTCCCTCCCATCACAGGGCACCACCTGGCCCTCCTTGGGCAGCTCCCGGCCATTTTACCACTCAGCCTCTATACAAGGGCACACAGAAAGGGGGTGACATCGAGAGCCTTGATATGGCATCTTTTGTGGCTCCAGCTAGAAAGTTCTTTGAGCTATCGGACCAAATTGTGGTCCCAGAGCACCCAGTTTGTGTCTATATTTGAGCACCACTGTCCCTCAGCTCTGTGGAGACAGGAATTTCTCATGTCACCAGAGCACTGCTGGGATGCTTACCTGACTTTGGACACTGCTGTGGACTAAATTGTGTCCCCAAGATTCTAGGTCCAAACCCTGACACCAGGATGACTGTACTAGGAAACAAGGAGATAATTAAGGCCAAACGAAGTCATAAGGGTGGTCTCCTAATCCAAGGGGTGGCCCTGTAAGGGGAAGAAAGATCTCTCTCTCTCTCTCTCTCTCTCTCTCTCTCTCTCTCTGCCCTGTGAGGACACAGTGAGATGGCAGCCATTAGCCAGTGAGCAGGCCTCACCCGACTTAGCCAGGCGGCACCCTGGTCTCAGGCCTTCCAGCTTCCAGGGCGTGTGAGACAGACACCGCCCAAGCTACATGATTGTTCCAACAGCCCGCGATGAGTAATGTAGTCCCAGTGAAGGCAGAGAAGATTGTGTGTATAGGAAGCAGAGCAGCAGGTGACCCGGGCTGGACCCGTTCAGCAAGGGTCGTCCAACAGCCGGGTGACCTCCGGGCCCTGGCTTGCTTCTGTGAAATGAAACCGGGGTTCAAGTATCTCTAAGGGCATTTCTGATTCATGTCGTAGGGAGAAGGTGGTGAGGGACCTGCTGTATCAAAGTACCCCAGACTAGGGTACCGAACAACAGAAGTATGTTCTAGAGGTTATAGAGGTTCAAAGTCCAAAGCCAAGGTGTTGGCAGGGGTGCTTCCTTCTGGGTGCTAGGAGGGAGAATCTGCCTGTGCCTCTCTCCTAGCTGCTGGTAGTTTGGGCCATCTTTGGTGACCCCTGGTTTGCAGAAGTATCACCCCACTTCGGCCTCCACCTCACAGGGCTTTCTCCCTAGGTGTGTGTCTGCAGGCCCCTAGCACACCGGATTAGGGGCCCACCCTAGCCCAGTACGACCTCATCTAAACCAATTACATCTGCAATGACTCTGGTTCCAAATAAGGTCACACTGTGAAGCACTGGGGACTAGAACTTCAACAAGGGAGCTTGGAGGGAGATAATTTGACCCACAACAGGACACAAACTTCTCAAAATATTCCTTCGAAAAGAAGGTTTCAGTTAGATGGGTTTTGTCTTCCTAGAGGTAGAAGGAGGTAGGCAGAAAGGTCAGGAGGGAAACTCTAAGGGACAGATGATGGGGACATGAAAAAGGGCACAACAGATTCAGGAAAGAAGGGGTCCCCCAAGCAGTGGGTCTCCAGACTTCCTGCTCTCCCCAGAAGGGTCTAAAGGCTGCTGGCCTTTGTTATGGTATGTGGCCAGTGTCAATCCTCCGTCACATGAGAGATGAGGGCCAAGGTCATGTGGGAACCAAGAGAGCAGGGATGCAGTTTGTCACCAGTGTGAAGTGACCCAGTGTAGAAGCCAATCCAAATGGGACCTGGAAGTGGAGCCCTTCAGAGAACAGCCCAAGGAGGGCCAGCTAGGAGCGAGGAGAGCAAGGCCCTAAGACACTTCCCACCCCGTACTGTCTCCCCGCAGGGCGAGAAGGGGGCTGCCGGCTCCTCTGGGCTCCCCGGTCTTCTGGGACAGAAGGTAGGTGTGTGCCAGCTCTGAACGGTGGGCTCCCTGCAAAGCCTCTGGTCCTTCCTGGTCCCACACATTTCCTGGGGCCTCACATTAGAGGTGTCCCTCTACCAAACTGGGGAGAAGGGGCCACAGATGGGCTCTGGTGTACCAAAAATCTGCCCCAATACAAAATCTAGGTAGCTATGACCTGAGGAGGTTGCTTTTTTTCTTCTTCCTCTTTTGGTACCAGGGCCACCTGACCAAATTGTGGCCCCAGGGCACCCAGTTTGTGTTTCTGTATGAGCACAACTTGACCCTTGAGCCACATCCCCAGCCCTTTTTATTTAGACACAGGGTCTCACTGAAATGCTTAGGGCCTTGCTAAGTTGCTGAGGCTGGCTGGCTTTGAACTCGCGATCCTCCTGCCTCAACCTCCCAAGCCACTGGGATTATGGTGTGCGCCACCGCGGCCAGGAGAGATGTCTTTGTACATGCTCTGAAAACCTGCCCACAGTCCACAGCTCTGAAGGATATTTCATTTTAAAGAGACTCAAGGCCACATGTATCTGGGGAGAAGTGCACGAGATGGGCACCTTGGGAAGTCACGGTACACCTCAGCCTGCTAGAGGCTCTGAGCACCCGCAGCAGAGAAGCTGGCAAAGCTTCCCGTCAGGCTCCATTCCTCAACGTTGCTAGCCACCGACCCTTTTTCACATTACAAGGAGCCCACTGAGGAGTGTTCCACAGAACACACTTTGAGAAACACCACATAGTCGCAGGAGCTGATGGGTCTGTGGTTTCAGCTGTAATCCTGTCCCGCCTCAGTGACCAGGGCCACACTTTCAATGCACAGCAGACCAGGGATCTGGAGCCCAGAGCTAGAGCCCATGGGTCCCTAGTGTCCTCCTGCACTCAGCAGAGCCCCCGAGGGGTGGCCTCCTGCCTCGTCCTCTGGCTGTAAGGGGAGGAAGCAGCAGGGGAAGGAGCTAGTGGACTGGTGAAGTAACCCTACCTTCCACCCCCAGGGAGAGAAAGGTGACGCTGGCAACTCCATTGGAGGAGGCAGGGGCGAGCCCGGCCCCCCAGGGCTCCCTGGGCCCCCAGGGCCAAAGGTGAGTTCAATGTCAAGGGAGATGTTCCTCTGCCATCTTTACCTTCGTGTGTCCTCAGGAACCTCACATCCTGGACGCCTCCCCTTCTTTAGCCTTCTCCTAGTTTTGCCCAGTAGATTCTAGAAAAGTGTGGACCAAGGTCCTGCTTCTAAACAGGTGACCAACCCTCCAGGAGGAGTGTCCCCCTGGGCAGATGGATGGTCCCCCACGGGTTAACTGAGTCAGGGACTGAGAGCTTCAGGCCTTAGCACAGCCAGGAGTCCTCACCTGGTGCAGACACACCGGGGGAGGAGGAGGGCAGGGCAGAGTGGAGGGGGCAGCTGTATACGGACCACCCTTCCTCACCTTTCACTGGCTGAAACTGCAGTGGTAAGGTCTGGGTTTCCCAGAGCTGATGTGTCCTGTGTTATCTGATTATTTCTGCAGCACAGGAAATGAAGGGGAGTCTCTCTAGCTCTTCATACTGTTGTAGGGACAAACGAGGCAAGGCACCGAGGACAGCAGGAAACAGTTTTATTTGGCTGCAGCCAGGTTCAGAGGGCACAGCTTTTGCTGTAATCAATCAATCCCCTGAACCCCAAGTTCAGGGAGTTTCAGAGTTTTATAACCAGCATGGAAGAGGAGTAGCTCAGAAGTTCACAGTCTGCAGAAGTTCACATAAAAGCAGCTTTTTCTTTCACTGGTCTGGGCAAGTTAACCCTTCAAGGACAACACCTGAGAAGGGGGGAGCTTCTTCTCCCCTTTCTTTCCTCCCCCTGCCAGCTGTTACCATGGAGCCCAATTGGTAACTTATCTTAAAAATGTAGACATCCCTGTGAAGCCCAGTCCAAGGCCAGAGGCCTTGTTTGCACATTTCTAGAAACTACCATACTGGATACATGTTTCTAAAAAACTAGTAAGGGGGTGTCCAGCACCTGGAGTATTGGTATCTTCTCGGCCAGAGGCCAAGTAAAACAGGGCGACAGGAAAATAGGAAGTTTATCTACATTGAACTCTTTTGTAGAGACTCTTTTGCTGACAGTCCTAAAATCAGCCATGGTGAAGATTTTTGGAGAAGTCCAGTTGAGGCTTTTCTGTGGAGAAAGGGGGTGCCACTTCAATATCTCTAATGATCTGTCGCAATGTGCTCATTCAGTGCATCGACATCCCCCAAGGGCCTGCCAAGGCTGGCCCTGCACAGCAGGGGGGCTGCAGGGAACCTGCCCTTGGCTCACTCTCAATCTAGCAGGAGAAGCAAACCTGTGATTCAAAGGTAGAATGTAGGGGAGCCCAGTGTCCCCAAAGGCAGGCAAGATGAGTGGTGGGCAGGGTCTCCTGCCAAACCCCACATACTCCCTGACTGGCTGGAGCAGCAGCTTTGCCGAAGGCAGCCCTGCCCGACCCCTACTCACCCACTGTCCCCAGGGCTGTCCCATGAGTCACAGGCAAGAGGCTGCCACAGCTTGGATCTCCCCTGGAGCTTGGGCAAACCTGGCCACCACTGTGTGCATCTTGAAGCAAGAGGGAGGGAGAGCCACAAGGCTGTGTCCCCAAACTCGGGCCTGCTTTCCAGGTCCAGGAGAAATGTCCAATAAGTGAAGCATTTGGAGCGGGCCTCCTCCCATCCCACCCTGCACCTCTATCCTGGGCTCCTGCAGCCACCTCCCCACATGCCCAGGGGCCCCATGCACCCCTCTGTCACCCAGGCAGGACTCCCCAAGATGTGACATCCCAAGTGCTCCAGGGTCCCTGCAGGCAGCCTGATGGCGACCCTCAGTCCAGTTGGGGGCTGTGACCCTGCTGGGTCTGTGTGTACCAACCAAGGGCTGAGGAGGGCCTGGCCGGCAGGTGGACACAGTGAATGGCACAGAGCTCCGAGGAGGGGGGGAGGGAACAGAGGGCTTCCAGAGGGAGGTGAGGCCCAGGCTGGGCCCTGGAGGGGGATCGGGATGGTGTCAGTTAGTGAAGCCCAAAGACCGTGATGCCCCAAACAGGAGCAGCAAGGTCTGCTTTTGTCCCCTCGAGCAGCTGTCCCAGCCCCTCTTCCTGTCCTCACGCCGTGTCTCTTCCTCCCCAGGGAGAAGTGGGAATGGATGGCCAGGCTGGCCCCCCCGGACGACAAGGAGACAAGGTACAGAGGCTCCACCTCTGACAGCTTGGGAGTGCCGGCCCCCGCTCAGGGAGCAGCCCTGGTTGTCCCTGACATGGAGCCTGGGGCACAGGGTTGACTGGCCATGACCTCCTACCTCCATCTTTCTGGTCAACTTGGGCCTCAGAGAACTACCACTGGAGGGAGGGGGATAGAGGGCAGCTCCCCTGGGGTGACAGCGGCTCCAGCTCCACCAGCCAAGGTTCCTTCCTGCCTTCTCGTCACTCTCTATCTTGATTTTTTTTCCATTTTCCATATTAGCCTTCTCCCAGAAAAGCTAGAGCCGTGTTTTGTTTTTCTCAGTTAGCGCCATGTTTCACCCATTCCATGTCCACCCCTCACTCTGGAAGGCGGGTGTCCCTGCACGTGCACCTGTGTCCTCCTCACACCTTCTCCGGCCCCCCGTGTCATCCTGTAGGCGGGGCCCTTCACAAGGAGAGTGGGCTCTCAAAGAACCAGGCAACGGGCCACAAGTGACAGAGCCCTTGCTACCTGTACAGAATGGAAATGGGAGAAAAGAAGAGCCAGGTCCCTGCTCCCAAGGAGGTAGCTCCCAGGGTCAAGGAGACAAGGGAGAGAGAGGTGGCCAGAGGAACAAAGGGGAGTCACTAACAACTAACATAGGACAGAAAGAAGCAGGAGCCCAGGGGAACGGGGAGGAAGAGAGGATGTGGCAGGTGTCCAGGGGATGTTCCCTGAAGGGGCGGAGCCTGCATTTTGATGGGCGGGGAGGTCTGAGTCTTGTTGGCCTCTGAGCCCCTCTGCGGCCCCTAACACAGGGCCTAAGTGGGGACACTGGGTTCTTCTGCACCCAACTTTCTCAGCCCATTTCACTCCTTTTGTCATACAACAGGGGCAGCCCGGAGCCACTGGAGAACAGGGACCAGCTGGCCCCAAGGTACATCACCTCTCACCTGGAGTCAGTGGGGAGCCACTTGACCTGAGCTCTTGAAGGGAAGAGGGTGCCGGCCCCAGGTGGGAGGTCAGATGGCCACTGTGATTGGGCTCACACTCCTCCAGACCTGTCTAGTCCCCAGTACTCAAACGGAGGCTGCTTCCTTTGCCATAGTACCGAGCCTCCTCTGCAACCCTGACACTCCACCCCAGTGGCTCTGGTTGCCCCGTGTGCAGAAGATGTGGCCAGTGTGGACAGTGGGCCCTCAGTCCCTCCTGGTCCAGGCCCTAGTTGAGATCTCATCTGCCTTGTAGGGCTCCAAGGGCGAACCAGGGAAGGGAGAGATGGTGGACTACAACGGAAACCTCAACGAGGCTCTCCAGGTGGGTGGACCACAGCCCAGAGGCCAAGCCCTGGAAGTCCTCGTGGACCTCGGCCCTGACCTCCACACAGCTGCCTTGAGGCCCTGCAGCCAGGCCGTGGACAGGGCTTCAGGAAAGAGTCACTCCTTTGTCCTCTCCCCTGGCCTCCCTCTGTGCAGCCTCCAAGCAAATGGCCCCATTGTTTGTGGCATCAGGTGGCCTGGCTCTCTGTCTGAGCCCAGCTGGCCAGTTACCTGGCTCTGGGCAGCTGAGAACCAATTGGAACATCCAGCACCCACAGGGTACTGCCCCTCCAGGGCTCTGGGCACCCTACTCCCCTTTCACAGGGTATATTCTGTCTTCCTGGAACACATCTCCTTTGTGTGTCAATTTTACCCTATTTCAAGTTCATACGCTCCCCACCTTTTAAAGCAGGTGTCTCTGCCTTGGCGCTGTGGACACTGGGGCTGGACAATCATCATGGTAGGGTGGGGAGGCTGCCCAGTGCATCATGGGATATTGAGCAGCATCTCTACCCACTCACTGCAGTGAGCACCCCACCCTCAGTTGTCACCCCAAAATATGTCTCCAGACGTGACCAAAGGTCCCCTGGGGACATAACCCATCCCAGGTTGAGAACCGCTCCTTCAAACAAATGTGTGTTTGCGTGAATCCAGTCCCAAGTTGTAAAGGATTTTAAACCAAGGATCATCCCACCCGTCTCTCTCTCTCTCGAGGAGTTCTAGGCTCTGCTGTGCTGTGTCTATTTAAGGGAGAGATGGTGTAAGCCTGAGTTCTGGGAGAGGAGGAAAGACCAAGGGAGGGCCCCAGCAGGTGGTTGCAGAATCAGGGCGAGAGGGTGAAGGGGCAAGAGACTGCCCAGGCCTGTATCATGCCTGCTGTGCTCTGTCCAGATTACAGACCTCGAGGAGAGGTGGGGAGGGCGTCGGCTGGAGCCATGGAGGCCCCTGTGAGGGTCTGCCTCCACCCTGCCCTCAAGAGGCCATGATTGGGCAGAAGGGATCTTGCAGATGGCCCTGGACTTGCTCTTCAACTAACTGCCTGTTGTTTTTCTTAGGAGATCCGAACACTGGCCTTGATGGTGAGTCTCCGCTCGCTCGCTTTCCTGACACAGGCTGGGGATGGAAGTAGAGTCCAGAAGCAAGAACTTGAATTCTTGCCTCCAGAAAGGGCACACTTGGTCCCCGGGTGGCGCTGGGCAGAGGGTGTGCTGAGCCTGGGGCAGGGGCAGGGCTGGAGGTGGGCCCCTGGAGCTGCCCATGCCTGGGTCAGGGCTGCCCTCGGTGATGGCTCTTCACCAGTGCAGCTGTGTGCTGGGTGACAGTGTCACTGGGCTGTTTACTGCTGTGTGGTGGAAAGAGCAGGATCCAGGAGGATGCTTTCATTTTCTCCTTTTTTCTGAAAGACCCATAGCAAGTCTCCACACGTCCCGATTTTCTAGAAATTGAGCTCATTATCTGCTCTCAGAAAACCAGTGAATCCCACACTGGGTTCTGCACATGTGTCTACTAGGAACAGACCCTCGGTAAACATTTGCAGTTAAAACAGACACCACTAAGTTTAACTCCCCAGATGGAGAGGGCAGGCAGGACCCCAAAGTCCTCAGACTAAGGGAATTTCAATTCACCTCGTATTTCCCATTCACTTAGAGATGACACAAACTCAGAACCAAACACCACCTCTCTGATGATCCAGGATCAGACATCGGTATAAACTATGTGATTCTGGAGTCAAGGAACTTCATTTGGGGACATTAAAATATATTATGTGAAATAACATAGAAATAAAACTTTCCTGCAAACTATTTTTTTTCTTTGAAAGTCAATCTTAGGTATAGCCTCCAATAAAATAGATCCATTTTAAGTATAGAGTTTGATGAGTTTTCACAAATGTAAGTTTTTGTATGCATGACCCCAGTCACTATAGGAAGCCCGTCGTGAGAGCTGGGCAGGGTGCTGTATGGTGAACCAGGCATCGCCTGTTCATGGACAGGTGTTTGGATTGTTTCTTGATGACCTAAGTCATGGTTGGGAAAGTCAGATTTATCTTTTTGGAGCCCCAGTGAGAAGGACCTCAAGGGAAAAGCTGTTGGCCTTGGCTGTGTGCCCCCCCCCAGCTTCAGTCCAGACACACCTGTGCTTAT